ACCAGTCTCGGAATGCCCCTGAGCAATGAATACGTAGTGTTGTAGTTATTTTGTGTGTTTTCTCACTATTTCATTATTCGTGTCACAGTGCCGACCAAAGACTAGGGTAAGTGTCTTGTTATTGCGCGAGGTAAAGGAAAAGAGGCGCAAAGCTCCCTCCGAAGCGGTGTCTAAATACAGCTGAAGCGGCACTGCTCTTTCCGAGCCTTACACTCTGTTTTCCTATGAGCCTCGCTTTGATGCCGTGACATTACTTTTGTATTAATTAATATCTGTATAGTAATTTTAATATTAGTACTGTTCATAAAATAGTTATTGAGAAAAAAAATTTACTTACGTAATTGAAAATAAAAAATCTTTTTATTTATAATAATAATTATTACTTTTTGATAGAAAACTATTATTTTTTAATTTAATTTAGCTAAAAAATACATAGATATAGGATACATTAGATTTTTTAGCTATTTTGGCTCGTATTATATTATCCAGTTAAAAAAAATAACCCTCTCTCCGTAGGAGAAGGGAGCTTGCTTTCGCACAGACCCTCGGTTAATTGTGCCATGGATTTTCGACGTCATCTCATTCAAGGTGCAGCATGTCAATAATCTCAAATCGCCCTGCATCATCCAATTGCGCTATACTCAACACCCCAAGATGCGTCTCTCAGGTCTCCAAAAAGAAGTCCTCGGTCTTTATCGGCAGTGTCTTCGAGAATGCCGCAAGAAGCCGGAGGCCACACGGAAACACTTTCAGACCTTTGCTCGGTAGGATGCTCACGCTTCACTACATGACTTCAATACTGACCTTGAAACAGCGAGGAGTTTGAGAAAAGCATCAGTCTAGACAAAAGAGACTTCTCTGCAATTGAATTCCTACTGCGCAAGGGTCGTCGCCAGCTCGAAATGTATGCATCACCAGGGGTCAAAGACATCAGGAAATAATCGCCCTGAATGCTCATGCTCTTTCTCGAGCACCTATAAGGAGTGAGCCAGTAGTGGCAGTAGTTACCACGAACAACAACAAAAACAGTTCCTGGCGCCTGCCACTATGAGCCATCTCGAGTCCCCCTTCTCAGCTCGGTGTCGCAGTTTCCTCTCCTTTGCTTCCGGTTCCGTCCAATACAATGTTGTTTGAGGTCTGAGACTCCTCTTCCATTTACCACCCATACTGTTCACACAAACGCGCCCAACAGCCATACCACCGGCTCCTTGCCTGGGTTTTTTTTTTTGGAATCGAGTTTTTTTTTTTTGGAATATATGGACGATGCCTGCATTCAACTTAACTTAGAAGGAAAGTTCGCACCGTCGGCCAAAGTTCAGACCAACGCCATCACCACCACCACCACCCAATGTCAATCCAGATGCTCCCCCCATTTTAAGTCCTTCAACCGCGAGTGCCAGTCCGGCTCATAGAGCTGCTCAGGAGGCCATACGGAAGCCTCTGAGCGAGTCCCTTAGGAAGCTACGCCGTGCCCAACGTGCCCTTACACGGCGAAAGAGGAGGAGCAGGGTTCGTGTATCGTTTAGACACTCTACTGGCAGTCGGACCTCTAGTACGGCCAAGCGAGTGTCGAGGCAGCTCAAGGCTGGTGATGTCAAACAAGGCGGCGGCAGTCCAAGATCCCGTCCTCTTCCCCCGCCGCCGTCGTCAGAGGAAAATGTGGGAGGTTGCTCTTGGAGCCCGTCGAAGCCACCGCGTCCGCCGCCGAAAGATAATATTCGAGCGAATATCAAGCAAGCCGGTGAAACCCGACACAGACACGCGCCGCCAAAGAAACCTGCGCCGCCAAAGAAACCTGCCCAGCCATCATCACATCCCAACACCAGGAACCAGACATCGGGGGGCCCACAGACTGAACACATTAAGGCTGTTTTCGACTGTACCAAAGGGAAAACACTAGTCGCAACACCAGTAGATCACAACCTTACACGACGCCGAGTGCAGACTCCTCGCTATTCAGTATTCCCCAAGGCCCATCCCCGCCACTGCAAACGTTCAGTTGACCCAGTCAAGGAGTCGATCATGATCCGGAAAAGTCCGATTATTCAACAGCAACGGCTATCAGCTTTGGTACTGTCACCGCCAGCACAGACCACAACAACAACAACAACACCTGTTCCCCCCCACCAGAAACAACTCCCCGATGTAGCAAAAATTTCAGGTATGAACCCCAAGCAGCGGGAAGAAGCAGCCACAACAACAAGAACCGAACCCAAAACCGACTCTGAACGAACCCTTGACGAATTTGTCCGTGAGCTGGAGGGGTTTGCAAAGGCGTTTGATGGGACTCGTGGGTCGTTGTTGTTGTCTACACCGTCAACGACGGCTTCGGTGAGGACGGTGCGGGAGCTTTTGCCTTGGAGGGAGGAGTTTTGGGAGGTGGGGTTGGCGGTTACTTCTTGCGAGCAGAAGGGACAGGTGAGGAGGTATGATGAGGGGGGAAAGAAGTTGGAGGGGAGTAGGACGAGGAGGTTGGATCAGTTTGGGGGGACTAATGTCCGAAGTTGGGGGGGAAGGGGAAGGGGGGGTTTGGAGATGGGCGTCGTGAAGAGGGTTTCGTCTTTGGATATCACTTTGGCTGCTAAAGAGTTGAGTTTTGGGACGGGGGTTATGGAGGGGGTGGCCTCTTTGGGGAGTAAGGAGTCAAGTTCGGGGACGGTGGTTGTTTATAAGCCGAGACGGGGGATGATGGCTGATGAGACGGAGATGAAAGAGGAGGGCAGCAGCTCGCGGAATAACGAGATTTATTCGGGGTCGAGTAGTACGTCTGTTGAGCCGGTTAAGCTGGCGGCGGTGGAGAAGAGAGTTGTTAGGGCGAGGGCGAGTACGGTGTTTTTGGCGAATAAGCCTTTGCCTGTTGCGCCGGCGTCGTCTGTGGCGGCGAGTTCGGAGGATGTGGGAACTACGGTGGGATCGCAGAGTGAGGTAAAACCGGAGGGATATCAGAAGCTGGGGTCTAGTTCTGGGAGTGAGAAGGAGCCGTTGCTGCCGCTTTCGGAGCAGCCGGTGAATAGTTCCTCGGGGGAGAGGTCGGTGAAGGGGAAGGAGGTGGATAGGGGAGGGGGGGAAGATGAGAAGGTGTTGCCTGCGCTGCTGCCGCCAAGGACGGCGCCGCAGGTGAGGCATGGGATCAAGAGTGATTGGCAGGCTGGGGGTAGTATGGTTAGTGCGTGGAGGCAGTTGCCTACTACTATTGTTGAGGAGAGCGAGCCGTCGCCGGAGAAGGAGGTGAGGGTGTTGGGGGTGAAGGGGAGTATCGATCAGGAGCAGAAGCTCTTGATGGAGAACAAGGGTGTTAATCAGGCGCATGGCTTGAACAAGCAGGCGGGAGTTTTGAAGACAAAGACAGAGTTGGAGGCGAAGGGGAAGGGGATTAATACTCCTATGCCAACACCAGCTCAGGGGAAGACACCGGTAAAGGCACCATTTGTCATTAATCGCGGCGTTATCACCAAGACACCTGAGCTTCTCCTCCCCCAAACATGGGAACACCACCCCCTAGGCACGCCATCCTCCTTTAAGAGAGCGCTCGATGACGTGGTGCGAAAACTCGACGCGATGGAGGTGAGGGAATGCTCCTCCCCCTTTGGTGCAGTGTCATCGCCAACGACAATGACAATCACAACAAGCAGCAGCACCAAAAAAAGAACGTCTTCGTCGTCTGGGAGCAACGGGAAAACCCCCTCACCAACAACACCGGCGCAGAGGCTGCAGAAGGCGGCGATGATGAGAAGGGAGAGGATGGATGCTGAGCAGCAGCAGCAACAGCAGCAGTGTGCTAACTTGCCCCCTTCTGCTTCTATTGTTCAACCGGTACGTTCACGGGAGTATATACCGTATATGATGCCGCCTCCTGGAGGGTTGGGGTTCAGGCCGAGTGAGTCGAACTCTTCTAGAGGGTTGGGGCAAGGGCGGAATTTGAGGAAGGGGCTTTTTGCGGGGGTGGGAGCAAGGGAGATGGAAGACGACAGGGATATTTCTGATGAGGATGTGCTGAAGGGACTGAAGATTATTTGTGCGGCGTCGGCGGATAAGGAGTTTTGATGGGTTGGTGAGGAGGGAGACGGGGTTGAGGTTGAGGAGGTTTTTGGCGGATTTGAGGACTTTTGAGTTTTTGGGCGGGAATGGGCAGGTGCCTGGGCTTGGTGGTGGTGGGCGGCAACAGATGGGGGGTTATGGAAAAGAGGAGGAGGGGATGTTGCAAGTTGAACGGGGAGAATAGGAGACGGAGTATTAGGGGGATGGATGGGTTGAGGGGTCTTGGGGGTGGAAAGAATATGAAGGGGAGTAATAGAGAGGGAATGGGAGTTAGAGAGAGTGTGCGGGATAGGGATACTAGGAGGGGTTTTAGGGGGTTGGGGAATGGACTGATGAGGTAGTTGGGCGAGGGTATTGGTTTGGTCATGCAATGGAGAAAATGATTTGGCCGGGTAATGGTAGTTTTAGGATAGAAATAAAGGCTTTTGCATATATACACTGCGCAACGGGAATGATACTTGCTGGAGTGCTCTATGGTGTTTTAGTGCCCCTGAATGCTGCATCAACAGTGCGATGGAGAGAGCGGCCAATGTGTAGCTTGGGTTTGTTTAGTAAAGGCATCAACGAACGGTGAGATGGCCGAGCGGTCTAAGGCGCCAGGTTCAGGCCCACCTGAATTTCTGATTCTTCTCTGAAGTATCTTCCTGGTCTCGAAAGGGGCGTGGGTTCGAATCCCACTCTCATCATATATTTTGACTTTTTATTATTATTTTTAATACCATCTCTCTGAATGGACAAGCTCTCTCATGCATGGGTTACCCTCCCTAAAACATAGCAAAATTTGTTGGTGTTGCCGTTGGGCTTAGGATAAAGGAGGAATACAGAGTTTATTTCAGGAAGTTGCTGTGTCTTGGTCTGGGCTTGGCTTGTTTGTGTACCTAAGAAAGGGGCCCCCTTTTTAGGCTTCATGCAGTCAGACAACATGAAAATATCTATGCACTGACAGAGTAAATCACAGCAACCATAAAAGAGGTCTCGGAGTGCAAATTGGTCAGTTATGTTACAGAAGCATTCTAGAAGCTGACTTTATCTCCCACTGCTGTGGGCGATTGGTGCGCCTCTGATGTTCTATTTATCACAAACACCACAAATAGAACAGATCGGACTTTACTGATATCCTTCTATGATATTTGAGTCAAGTTAATACCTCACCGTTATACTATCCATCCCCGCAAGTGACGCGTTATCTCTCTCAACTTTGAATCTTATTAGAGTGCGTGGTTTATTATTGTTCCTCCTGCAAAGTATTTGAGATATTTTGTGTGTGTTTGTTCAAGACTGTCTTCATGATCTCCATTGCAGGAGGTGTATCACCGCATATAGATTGTCTCCCTCTGCAAGTCATTCAAAACGGTCTATCTTGTCGTGATCATATCATGATAGTGATATGAAAACGAACAGACTCTCGGTGCGGGTCACGGCTCGCGGCACGGCATGCTTATTTCTCTGGTACGGTAGGATTTCAACAGTACCTGTGATCACCGTTTCTACATGGAGTGTCTGAACGGAAGTGTGGGACTGATCCCTCTGGTAGCCCAGTCCAGCAGCGTATCCGTCGGAGCCCAGTAATCAAACAACCCCGGTTTGACGCTGGCTCTTGCATATTAGATTACGGGGCTGCACATTCCAAGACAGACAAGGCGTGGAATTTTGGTATGTGTCTTGGTTCAAATTTATCTGGGTCGAGCGATGTCCCCTCTCGTCGTGGTCTCAACACCAGAAACAAAGAGGTTGCCCTGTATAAAGCCAGAAGCGAAAGGGAAGTTCTGTGCAGTAGCTCTGCATACACCTATTCACCCTTATGCAGAAGAGACAGGTGAGGTGTGTACATCCGCGGTGGGGATTCACACACACACACACACACACACACACACACACACACACACACACACAGAGAGAGAGAGAGAGAGAGAGAGAGAGAGAGCAAGCACAAGGGCTAGATTCAATCAAACTGGGATCATCCCGACTGCTTTCGGGATGGCGAATGTGGTGGTACGAAGTCAAGTCCGAAGGCGGGCAAGTAGTAGTAAATACACGGGAAGTCTAGGAACGACGAGTATCCGGTACCTGCTCGCCATGTGGAGAACGGGGTCGAGGCCAAGATGCCCACTCCCAGCTGTTTGGGCTATTTTGCCTGACCGGGTATTATGCTTTAGTGCCACGGGTGAAAAGGGTTGGCGTGCAGGAGTGGTAGACGGTACCTAGGGGTGAGGTAGGGGGTACCTTGAAGAAGGAGAAAGGGTGTGTGGGGGGAGGGGGGGGGGATAATGGGGAGCGGGTAATATAAATGATTGTGGTTTTATCGATCAATTGCTCGAGTTGGGAAGCTGATCGTCAGAGGGGAAGGGGGGTGGGAATGTTTGGTACGGTGGTATCGATGGGAATAATCAGTTGAGGATGGATGGGGATGTGATGATGCGTGGCGGATTGTAACCTCTTGGTTTCTTCACGGTCCAATGTGATGTTCCCATTTCGCTTCTAGAACTTCTCATCTCGTCTCATGATGCCCTTTTGTAGTAGAGACTCTAGGCTGGTCTAGTGCTGTTGTCTTTGCCACATATTCCTACCTCGATGTTGCCCTCATGTTGCTGTAAGATCTAGGCTTTGTCTGGTGGTGGTACCGACCCTCGGTCTCCTCGCTCTCCAACTTGCGGCAAGAAAACCCTTCTGGAGAGTCTGGTCCGGGAAAAACCCACGCGAGGTGCAAAAGATGCCTGAAGTTTGGAAACCCCTCCCCGAATCGTGATGGACCCAAAACCCGAGTGGACGGAACAGATCTAGTGTTTCCCTACATCAGGCAGGGCCAAGGGGGCAATGAACCGGGCGGATGGGAGAATGTCAAGACGTGAAGCGAGAGTCAGGCAGCCATTGGGATCATCACCGGTGATGAGTTGTCCCAAGTGAAGGGGCCATGATGACCGGTGATGAGATCCAATCAACATCGTCATGCGAAAAAAAGAAAAAGTTACCATCAGCCCTCCATATTCCATTTCCGGCAACAAGGTGAAGTGAAGCCATCACCACAAACCTCTCCACCTCCCTCACCGTGGTTAAATCCAAGAGATAACGACATAATCAGCACACCAATCCAAAATAACGAGTCAGAGATCCAAGGTGAAGCCATCACCACCTTGAGACAATCTCCCTCACCGTGGCTAAATTCAAACGCGGCACCCCCAATCTTCCAAACTATCCATAAGGCACAACCACCATATATCACAAATTTCATGAAACCGAGCGAAAAGCATAATTTTCCAAACACATATATTGAGTAGGTGGTTTGTATTGAGGTAGTAATAGTATTGGGGGGGGGGTATATAGTAAAAAATAGATTATTCCATCCAACAACAGAGACACGCGCGCGCATATTAAACAAAATCCACCACTATGCAACTTCAATGTTTTTTTGTTCATCGTTCGCGTAAACACATAATCTTCAATGTCCCGAATTAAAATAATAAGCGACATCAAAATCGCGCGCGCACGCAAAACAAAACATCAAACAAGTCGCCTTTTTTCCCCACAAAAAGCAAGAGCTAAAAACAAGCCAACTGCTTTAAGCAGACTTGGTCTCGCTGATCTGAGTCTCCTTCTCGACCTGGTTAAGGTCGACGCGGGCAACCTCAGCCTCGTCACCGTCGATGATCTTGGCGAGCTCCTCGAGGGTGGGGCCCTTGGTCTCGACATACATGAAGTAGACAAAGGCAAGCTCGAGGAAGATCCAGCAGGTGTAGATGAGGTAGAGCTTCCAGGTGCTGTTGGTGGGGCCGAAGAAGTCGAAGGCGACGGGGTTGGCGTAGATGTTGAGGGTGAGAGCGCACTGGACGGACAAGTTCATGACCATGAGACCCTTGGCGCGGAGCTTGTAGGGGAGGATCTCGATGGCGTAGCCGACGAGGAGACCGGACCAGGCGAGAGAGTACATGATGCCGAAGACCCAGATGAAGAAGATCATGGCCTTGTCGGCACCGGGGGACTGCTTGGTGTCCCAGAGAGCAGAGCAGATGGTCCAGAAGACAAAGGTGCAGAACATGCCACCGGTGGAGGCCAGGAACATGGGGCGGCGACCGACCTTGTCGACAAGCATGGCCATGGTGACGGAGACGATGAGGGCAAGGCAGGTCTGGCCGGCACCGAGACCGAGCTTGGCAGTCTGGTCGGTGACACCGGCCGAGTCGTAGAGCTTGGAGGAGTAGTTGGAGATGATAGCGTTACCAGACCACTGGGAGAAGATACCGAGGGAGATGAGGACGGCGAATCTGTAGCGGTTGCCCTTGGTGCGGAAGAAATCGGCGTAGCTGGAGTTGCCCTTGGCCTCGTACTCGAGACGGATGGTCTCCTTGATCTCCTGGTACTCGAACTGGACGGTGGGGTGCTGGTCGTTGCCGTTGGCGTGGTACTTGGCGAGCATGGCAAGAGCCTGGTCGTGCTTGTCCTTGGCAATGAGGAAACGGGGGGACTCGGGGACCCAGTAGATGAAGGCAAGCTGGATGAGCGAGGGGAGAGCCTGGAGAAGGGCGGGCACACGCCACGACCACTCGGTGGGGACGTAGGCGGTGCCGAAGGCGAGCCAGGAGACGATCAAGGCACCGACGTTCCACAGGCAGTTGTAGACGCTGGTAAGACGGCCACGATGCTGGGGATGGCAGATTTCGGTGAGAAGCATGGGAGACGAGATCTGGGCGAGGGAGTTGCCGAAACCGAGGAGGACACGGCCACCCATGAAGACACGGATGTTGGTGCAAGAACCCTGGATGACGGCACCGACAATCATGATAACGCAGCCAATGGCGATGGGGAGCTTGCGACCAAAGTTATCGGCGAGGAGAGGGCTGTAGACACGGGCCAGGTCAGCAATCGTTGATTGTCATTGGGCTTCTTTCTGGAATCCAAAACTTACACGATAGGGATAGAGACCAAAGAACCAATCTGGTAGAGAGCACCGACGAGACCGAGGAGGGAACCTCTGGGTCTCTCGAAGTAGCTGTCCCACTGCTCCATGTTCTGGACAGCGTTGAAAAGCATACTGTATATACCATGTTAGCAAGGGACCCCCCAGTTTTGCTTCCGAAACCAAACGTACCCATCGTAACCGGTGGTAGCAGAGGCAACGCAAAGAATGATGGCGAAGAAGTAGAGCTTGCGAAGACCGGGCTCCTGACGCCAGTTGACTCTCTCAAACTGAGGAGCCTCCTCCTGGGCGACCTCGGCCGCCGCAGCTTGGGGCTTCTTATCGAAGATGCCCATGGTGATGGATGGTTGGTGTGTGAACTCGACGATGGGCTGTGAGGTACGAGAGAGGCAGCAATTGAATGGCTCTCAAGAAAGATGTTGGCGACACAGCTGACCCGGCTCCTTGGATCCTAAAAGGGTGGGATTGTCAGGAACGCAAAAACGAGGATGGGATGGGGGATTATAAAGACATGTTGCTCAGGGACGGTCAACCAACCCTGGGGTACGGAAGAGTCGTGGAGACCAAGACGGACAGACGGACCGGCCAGGCGTTCGAGGGACAACCGGGGTTGGGCAGGCATCATGGGGGGAGGAGGTGTGGGACATGTTCACACCAGAGAAGCTTGACCAACTGCGGCCCTGAGCCCACCACCTCACCACCCCAGAACCGCTACCCGTACGGCGAATCCTCCACTTCTGCAAATAGCTAGTGTCTTTTGTTCAGTTCCAGGCACGTCTGGATGGGGCTCGCATGCACGCCGATACAGCCCGTACAGGTCGTCGGTACGGGACAGGACGGCAACAGATTGCTGGCTCTCAGTTGAAAGTACCCCCTCGCGTTGGTCTCGCCAGTTCCCGACGGGCTGGCCGGAGACGGGTTGCTTGTCAATGAGGCTAATATGATATGTATGTATGTCCCATCAAGCCATACGTACACAGTACTCATATTCGAGATGCTTCACTCAGGACTGGACTGTGTCAAGCTCGTGAAACTTTCCTCTCCTGATTTCCGTGACAACACATTTCCTGGGGACCCCAGGTCTCCCCAGCCCGCTCCTCCCCGTACCCCAGAGAAGTCTGCAAAAAGATGGAGCGATGACACCAAAGCATCGTGGAGTCGAGTTGATCACCAGGTCTCTCCAATCTTTCCCCAACTTTGACCACTTCTCCCCCAGCTTTGGCCCTTCCTGTGGGGACCCGCACTTTTTTTCCTTGCCGAGACTTGGCAGACATGGGCCTCGATGGCGCCCCTGGGGGGGCAAGCTCGTCTGCTTGCCCGTCTTGGGGATCGGACCGGTTTTCGCGTGGGCTCCTGGTCAGCGTCCAGCCAACCGAGCAGCGTCGAGCGAATGGGAGCATGCCGCCGCCGCCACTTTCAGCAACCTATGCACGGCCGGTGGAAGCGGACCGACAAAGAGATCGCGCTGCATATTGGCGCTGAGATGTGGCGCGCACTTGAGCTTGATTTGGCCAACGCTCACTAACGTCTCAACGTCGTCCTGTGATGGTTTCGTTTCTGTCATCAGGGAGGGAATCAAAGGCTCTGCTCTCTCAACTCGTTCGAGAGATAACCATGGTTGGCAGCGGAAAAGAGACGAATTGTTGGCCCACGGGAAGGCAGGGGTGTACTCCTTTCTCAATTAGGCAGTATTTGCCAAAGTCGGGAGCTCCCCGGGGGGGGGGGGGTCCCAGGATGTCACGGCGGCAGGTATATGAGATGCATACCGACTGCAATGTTATGGCCATGCGTGCCGATAATACACAGGCCTCGCTTGGGCTGGCAGAAGCTGGGCACAAACCCGACGCTTGGAAACAAGCACATCCCGCTCCGCGTAGACGACTTGGAGATGTGCCGGTACGTCGAGGTCGAAGTCAGGCGGCCGATGCCAAGGTGGCGGTGATGGTGAAGAAGGTTACGGAGTAAATCTAGCTACATACTAATGCGGGCAGAGCTGGTAGCCAGTCGGAGGAGACATCTCGTAGGGAAGCCGGAGTGGCACACCCTCGCCGCCGAAGCACATGATGGTGATGTTTGGAGACAGCCAGTGGGCCAGTGGGGTAGCGAGCCGTCAAGTTTCCAACGACAGCCGGTGATTGGTCCGTAGGAAGCCTCCCCGTGTTTCCGACGAGTGGGAATCCGGGGCACCCCGCTTTCTTTTCGGCCTTGATCAATGTTTTCGGCGCTGACTTGAGGCCCTTCCAAAAGGGCGACATGTCACTGCCAGAAGCACTAGTGGCTGTTGGGCAAACACGCTTGTGCAAGAACGAAGATGTTTCTCCGGGTTGGTGAGTGATGATGCTCTGTTTCGCGAAGTTCGCCCTCATGGCGGCATCTCCAGCTGGGCGTTCACTGGGCGTTCTGGGGTGCGGCTCCCCCGTTGATGCTAAGGGATCGAGCTAACGCTTGCCTCGCAACTTCTCCCGGCTTGGCTTTTCATTCAGGCTAAAAGGACCTGGCCCTCAGCCGTTTTTGCTCAGCAGGCGTTTCCTACCCGTGCTTTCTAGCGTCCAGATAGCGTTTCCAAAAAGACTTTTTCCGCTGGTGAGCTGATCCCATCTGATCTGATCGGCTCGCGGCCGGTGAGGCGCGTGTAGGGGAAAGGGGAAGGGCGCGGTGAGTGCCGGACACATGGCCCGAGGCTATTACTAGTAGTTTTGCTAGTTTCTGCAGCTGTCAACCAGGAAGTTGTCGTGAGCTCGGTGCCTTCTCCGTGCCTTTTGCCATTTTACCATGTGGGAGACACGCTATGTGGCCATCACCGAGTCCACTGTGGAGAGAGTGCTGGAAACTCGAGACCACAGGCGGCCTGATATCTCGATGGATCAAAAAGAGGCGGTAACATCATGCTTGAAGCCAACGAAGCCAATGAAGCCAATGACGTGCAGACAAGTCTTGAAGCACGCCAATATTGTCACCTCGGGAAGGGAAATAATGCACCCTGCCATCCGAGGCTAGAGGCGCTGATATCAAACACACGATATCACTTGGACGACAAACACGATTCCCAGGTGCCCGGGACGCAGAGACAGAGAGCAGAGATGAAATCCATGAAATGCATTATTAACTGTCGCATCTGGGTGTGGAACTATTCCCAAACAGCCACGGTGGTTTGCGGCACCAGGACAAAATAAGGGAAGCATAGGCGGGACGGCACCGTTCGCCGGTGGCACCTGAGGTCCTAGGGCCGCCCAAGAGATGTCTAGGCCTCTCTGCATGAGTCTTGGGTGTTGTTGACTGTAACCGCAAAGTTTGGTCCCGATGCCTACCTAATATCGGGCATGGCACCGAGGGCATTGAATTTGGAATTTTCTGTTCTCCTCTTTTGAATCAACATGCCATCTCTCTCGAGGAGTTGTTGAAGAAGCAGCGGTGATGCCGTTGTCTCTTCCCGACTGTTTCCGCTTGGGTGATGGTTGGGAAAAAAAGGCAATGGCCGGGGCCATCCCTACCAAACTCCGGGGGGCGGCAGACGGAGTTTGAGGGGAAGGCTGGAAAAAGCGCGGGGTTAAGCACGGGCCACGTTGCGGTCATGTGAATTCTCTGCAGATGCAACCACTCAATTGCGCGGCGCGTTTCAATGCAACCACTCAATCGCGCGGCGCGTTTCAATGCGCGCGTCCAATTTTTTGGCTACGCGTCTGCCGTGGAGTACAGTCGTCTCTTTCTGGTGCCGCCGTGACATCACCGTAACGACTACACATAGCATCGCCAACCAGACCAAATCCACTGCGGCATCATGGTTGGGTCTTCGAAACCATCCGAAAAGAAGCAGTCATCCTTGACTAGTTTCTTCACCCCAAAGACTGTCAATGGCTTGTCACAGAAGTTGGCTGCCCAGAAGCCAGCCAAAGACGACTCCAAAGCCGGACGCTCGTCCTCGCCATCTGCCCCTGGACCGTCTCAAGTCTCCAGGTTCAAGCGACCTCTCCAAGAGGACAATGACTCTGGGAATGGGACTGAAAAGACTACCAGGTCTAGCCGTTTGACCAAACGCGCCAAGCGTGTCCTTGATGACGATGACGAGTCCGAGAATCAGGAGCTTCCAAGCTCGCCTCCTGCTGGAAATGGCCCAAGTTCATCCAGAACCGGAAAATATGTCTACGATGCGGGGTCCGCCTCAAAGACTGGCGCACCCGACGAGGACGAGACCGAAGATGCGGCAACGAGACGGAAGAAGGAGGAGCTGCACAAGAAGTTTGTCAAGAAGCTTGGCCATCCAGACAGCATGTCGTACATGAAGAGGCGCAATGGTGCCCCAGACAGTTCTACTCCAGGCCTGGAGGGTGATGACGCCGAAGGAGAGGATGAGGCTGAGGAGGACGAACCACCACCGACCAAGGGCAAGAAGAAGGGTGCCAAGACTGGCAAGCTTACGCCTATGGAAATCCAATTTCTCGATATCAAGAGGAAACACATGGATACTCTCTTGATTGTCGAAGTTGGTTACAAGTTCAAGTTCTTTGGCGAGGATGCTCGGATAGCTGCCAAAGAGCTGAGCATTGTGTGCATTCCTGGCAAATTCAGATACGATGAGCGTAGGTGCAACTTGCATGTGTTGTGTTCCGATCGTTATGCTGACCTTTCGCCAAGATCCATCCGAAGCCCATCTCGACCGATTCGCCTCTGCCAGCGTGCCAGTTCACCGACTCAACGTACACGCCAAACGCCTTGTTGCTGCTGGTCACAAAGTTGGTGTTGTCCGCCAAGTTGAGACTGCAGCCCTCAAGAAAGCCGGCGACAATCGCAACGCACCATTCGTCCGAAAACTTACCAATGTCTACACCAAGGGCACATACATCGACGAGACAGGGGAGCTGGATCAACCGGGAGACACCACTGGTGCTCCATCTGGTGGCTATCTGCTTTGTCTTACTGAATCCCCGACCAAGGGGTCTGGCACTGATGAGAAAGTGCAAGTCGGAATTATTGCCGTACAGCCTGCAACCGGAGATATCATCTATGATGACTTTGAAGATGGCTTCATGAGGCGCGAGATGGAGACCCGGTTGCTCCATATCTCGCCTTGCGAATTCCTCATTGTCGGTGACTTGTCCAAGGCCTCCGACAAAATTGTCAAGCATCTTTCTGGCAGCCGTACCAACGTGTTCGGTGATCGAAGTCGGGTTGAGCGGGTGCCCAAGTCAAAGACGATGGCTGCTGAGGCTCACTCTCATGTCACCCAGTTTTATGCTGACAAGACCAAAGAGGATGACGAGAACTCAGCAGCGCTTTTAGAGAAGGTCTTGAAGCTGCCGGAGTCAGTCACCATCTGTCTGTCAGCAATGATCAACCATCTCACCGAATATGGCCTGCAACATATCTTTGGTTTGACCAAGTACTTTCAGTCGTTTAGTACACGACAGCACATGTTGGTCAACGGGACAACACTTGAGAGTCTCGAGGTCTACCGAAACTCTACGGACCACTCTGAAAAGGGTAGTCTGATGTGGGCATTGGACAAAACCCAGACCAGGCCCGGCCAGAGACTGCTGAGAAAATGGATTGGTCGTCCATTGCTTGACCAGCAGCGTCTAGAAGAGCGTGTCACTGCAGTAGAAGAGCTTCTAGAGAAGCAGTCTGCCATTCAGGTCAGCAAGCTGACCGGCATGCTGGCCTCGATCAAGGCCGATCTGGAGCGCAGCTTGATCCGTATATACTACGGAAAGTGCACTAGGCCAGAGCTTCTGTCAACCCTTCAGACTCTCCAGAAAATTGCCATGGAGTATCACAGAGTGAAGTCTCCGGCAGAGACAGGCTTCAAGTCAAGCCTGCTCCAGGAGACCCTTCTCTCTCTGCCTGCCATCGGTGACATCGTCACCTCCTACCTCGACAAGATCAACGCCCAAGCCGCCAGAAAAGACGACAAGTACAACTTCTTCCGCGAGGAAGAGGAGACAGACGACATCACCGATCACAAGCTGGGGATCGCGGCGGTAGAGGCCGATCTCGACGCCTACCGCAAAGAAGCCACGGCCAAACTCAAGAAGAAGGTTTTGGTGGAATACACCACCGTCTCCGGCATCGAATACCTCATCGAGGTAGCCAACACCGACCTCAAAAACGTCCCCGCCTCTTGGGCCAAAACCTCTGGCACCAAGAAGGTCTCTCGGTTCCACACCCCAGAGGTGATCAAACTCATCAGCGAGCGCGACCAGCACCGCGAAGCCCTCGCCGCCGCCTGTGATGCCGCCTTTTCGGCTCTTCTCTCGTCTCTCGCGGCGGAGTATCAACCACTCCGCGACGCCGTCTCCTCTCTCGCTACATTGGACTGTCTTTTGTCCCTCTCCCAGGTGGCCTCCCTACCAGGCTACTCCAAACCCAACTTCCTCCCCATCACGGCCCCCCCTTCGATTTCCATCGTCGAAGGCCGCCACCCCATAGCAGAACACACCCTTTCCACTCCTTACATCCCCTTCACCACCTCCCTCTCCTCGCCTGCCCCGTTGGCCCAACTGATCACAGGCCCCAACATGGGCGGTAAATCCTCCTACGTTCGCTCCGTCGCGCTCCTCGTTTTGCTTGCTCAGGTGGGGAGCTACGTCCCCGCAACAGAAATGACGCTCACCCCCTGCGACGCCATCTTCACCCGCATGGGCGCGAGGGATAACCTCTTTGCGGGGGAATCAACCTTTATGGTTGAGGTCAGTGAAACAGCTTCTATTCTCCGCTCCGCCACCCCGAGGAGCCTGGTGATTCTGGATGAGCTGGGCAGGGGGACGTCGACGCATGACGGGGCGGCGATTGCGCATGCGGTGCTGGATTATGTGGTTAAGGAGGTGGGGTGTTTGACCTTGTTTATCACGCATTATCAGAACCTGGCGAGGGTGGCGGAGGGGTTGGGGGATGGGAGGGTGAGGTGTGTGCACATGAAGTTTAGGGTTGAGAGAGGGGGGGATGGGGATGGGCAGGAGGAGGAGGTTACGTTTTTGTATGAAGTTGCCGAGGGGGTGGCGCATCGGAGTTATGGGTTGAATGTGGGGAGGTTGGCGAGGTTGCCGAAGCAGGTGTTGGAGGTTGCGGGGGTGAAGAGTAGGGAGATGGAGGAGGAGGTGAAGGAGAGGAGGCTAAAGGGGGTGGTGGGGTTGTTGGGGGGGTTGATGAATGGGGAGAAGGGGGAGGAGGAGTTGGAGCAGCTTGTGGAGGGTATTGAACAGCTTTAGGTGGGCAAGGGATTATGGAGTGTGGTAATTGTTAATTGTGGGAGTATACATAGGACTGGAGTTGGTTGGGGTTGGTAATTGGTGTTGGGAGGGGGGTTATTGCAGCTACCTACCTAGGTTTGAGTCGGGGAGATATCTGGAAGGTAGGTGCAGTACATGAAATAGAATATTCCACAATTGTGTATATGTAGGACCCAACAATGAAGTCCCTGTTATATCTTGCACCAGCCATGTTCAACACATTTGATCTACTTCATACTGAGAAGAGGAGGTTTGACATGACGACGATAGATCATCTTCCAATCTTTCCACCCCATGAACTTCATCCATGCCTTGAACCTGCTAGACGACTCTGCTTAATTTCTTCTTGTCTCTGGCGGCAGAGCTCCTGATGGAACGGTATCCCAGTAGTTGTTTGTATCCTCGATCTCCAGACATTTATTACAACGTCGTTAATGCTCGCATTGTGTACAGAGCGTTTCCATCGTTTCTCGCCGATACGGTCCATGCTGATGGGGGCACTACGGGGGTTTCATGTTACCTTATCAGTCTCGGGACATATGTGCAAGGGATATGGTGATGGTAAAGACTTACGCAATACCAGAGGAACCAGACGGTTGGTGGGTTGGGTTTGTTGGTGGCATTGTTGATGTTGTTGATGTTGAGGAGGATGGAATAAACTGGAAGATCCAAAGGTGTGTTTGACTTGTTAGGTATTTGCAGTGACGAGTGCTACAATAACTGACGACAACAACGAATCTATTAAGAGAGGACGAAAATGTTTTTGAGAGGGGAGTCAAGAAGGAGGGGGCTTGCCTGTCCTGAAGATGTCGAAGACATTCCGACTCCGTAAAAATCTGAATGGAGTGATATGATGTTGGGGCAAGCAAACGACATTTTCAGAGTACAAGATAAGAAAACAGTAAAATAGATAGTCGGTGATATCCAATTGAGGAAATCGTTCGAGTCGTTTCACAGGTATTCTGAACAACACTTTAAGGATGGAATGTGATTTATGACATGTGGGAGACCTATGAAATGTAGCTCTGTCAAGCTGAGAGGTAAGTAAACAATCAAGACAGGTTCAGACAGTCGAGGCAAAACGGATGGCAACACAACAGGAGCCAAAAAGGCAAGAATTGATCGCGGCAGGGATCGAACCTGCGATCCTCTGCGATACTGGGATATTGTAAAGCAGATGCCTTAACCACTGGGCCACGCAACCTATTTGATTGGTGGATGTTGACCGCAATTGAGTTTATGACAGGACCAAGCGGGAGCGGCCCGCATCTTGGCAAGCTCTTATCTTATCAGTGAATGTGGTTGCACCCAAAGCTCAACTCCCTGCCAGCTTGAGATCAGACGGTACCTTGAGAGCTACAGGTGGAGCAACTGAAAGTGTCACAGACCGTACCAAACAAAATGAACTCAATCAGAGTGGCCAATTCCCTCGTCCGCAGCAACGTGACGGCTGCTGTGCTCAGGTACGTCCCTCCCAAGACTCCATTGACTTTACTTTCCACTAACAGAAACCCCAAGAACCACCCCCTGCATCCTCCTCCCTCAAGCTCAAAGGCCATGGCTCCCCCAACAACTCCCACAACAAACCCCCCCCGTCCGGTCCTTCTCTCACTCCCCCTCCCTCTCAAAACGTAACCGCAAAGAAGAAGAACCCGAAGAAGACGACCCCCGAGGCAAAAAAGGCGGCAAGAAATCCAACAAAAAAGAAAAGGGCGGTGCCCCAGCCCAGCAGCAGCAACAAGAAGCCCAACCCTCAGCAGCCGCCGAAGACCCCTTCAACCTCGACCCCCTCATCGCCCTCTTCCAAAAGACCGAATCCCACTACACCTCCCAGCTCGCCCTCCTCCGCTCCCCCACCGGCCGCTTCAACGTCGAGTCCATCGGCGCCATCCCCGTCTCCCTCGACAAGAAGTCCACCGTCACGTACCGCCTCCAGGAGCTCGCCACCGTCGCCCCCCTAGGCGGCCGCCGGTGGTCCATCCTCGCCTTTGAGGAAGCCTCCGTCAAGCCCATCATCTCGGCCGTCCTCAAGTCGCCAGACTTCAACCAGCAGCCCCAGAGAAATGAGGAGAACCCCCTCGAGCTGACCATGACGGTCGAGCCGGAAAAGGTCGACGACCTGGTCAAGAGGGCAAAGGATCTCTGCACCGAGTGGAGGAATAAGCTCAGAGACGAAACGCACAAGCACGAGACCCATGTCAAGAAGAACAAGTCGCTGCTGAAGGATGACTTGTTTAAGATCAAGGAGGCGTTGAAAAAGCTTCAAGATGAGAGGATGAAGGTTGTTGCGAATAAAGAGAAGGAGGTCGTGGCTGCTATCCAGTCCAAGGCCAAATAGACGACCTGGGTCTTAAAAAGGTTGTAGATGTTTTGTTAGATAGTTGGTGCCCATACGAGGCGTTAGATCTCAAGTATACCAGTGTGCGTTTCATATGCCATCACCAAAAAAAGGACGAGTTACACAAAAGATTTCTTTCAGTCTAAATTCATATCACAGTAATATACCTAATGTTACATCGACAGCCTCACTGTCTTTTGTTGTTTAAGCCCTCTTCTGGGCACCCCCCTTTCCCTTAGCCGCCTCAGCAGGCAACAAACTCATCACCTTGTCCAAAAACCTCCTCTGGTCCTCCCCCCTATAACTCCACGTCCTCGCCGTGTAGTTCTCAATCAACCCCTTCACATCCCCCAACTCCTTATACCCCACCTCCTTGTAATTGCCCAACACAGCCAAATCCAACACCGCCTCCCTCGCCTTCAGCGGGGCCCGTCCAGGAAAAAACCTCTCCCCCTTTTCCAACCAATCCCTCTCCCCCTGACTGTTGAAAAAAATCGGCTTCCCCTCCTTGAACGCCCTCTTCCTAACCGCAGTGATATCCATCGTAACCCCACTATCCCTGTTGAACGCCTGGCCCCCGCCCATAAGCCTCATAGTCTGAATCACACTCTGCACCTTCCCCCACTGCGCAGAGGTAGCAAGCCCACCCCCGTAACCACTCAGATCCTTCCTCCTCAGCTTAGGAACAAACGGCACGACTTCTCCTTTTTCGTACCGATCCACAACCGCCTTTTCCGCCTCGGAAAGAACCATCTTTCCTTCGTTGGCCTCCTTGGGCTTTTCTTTCTTGGCTTGCTTGTTTCCCCCCTTACCACCAGCACCACGGGTAAACTTCCCGCTTAGACGGGCAGGTCGATTGCCTGACTGTCTCCCCCCCGCACCGGGACCAGCACGACGGAATCCAGTTTGTTGTTGTTGTTGTTGTTGGTTGGAGCGAAACCCAGTGCTTGGTCTCGGTCCTACAGTCCCGGCTCCACCACCGGGAGTGTACCGGGCAGCTAGACGAAGGGATTTGATACTGAGAATTTTTGCCCCGGTTGGAGCACCACTAGCAGAAGGGGCTTTCCCAAAAGGGCTGGCGCTGGGGCCGGTGTTGTTGGCGCGGAGGGTGCGGATGTCGAGGGGGCGTTTGACGGCGGCGCCGGTCGAGATCTTGGTTAGTCTTGTTGCAGCGGAGATTGAACGGGTGGGCTTGTTGTTGTTGTCTTCTTCGGCGAGTTGGGGGCCCGAGGTGGTGAAGCTGCGGGTAGCGGCGGAGGTTGTTGTCGTCGACGGCGGGGCACGACGCCCGAGGACGCCGGCCCGGAGGATTTGCTGCCTGGGCATGTTGAGAGAAAAAATTGTCGCCTTGGGGAATGGGTTGAAAACCCCTCGATAGGCGACGTTTGAGGGTGAGAAAGGTTGGGTGAGCGGAAAAAAGTCGGCGACAACACCGGCGAGGTTTCGAGCTCACGGGCAGTGAGGTTCGTTTGACGATGGGGTTGAGTAGGAAAGGAAAATGGTTGGTGGGGTGTGATTGGTCAATTCTGGGGACAGGTGGGTCTGGGGTTTGGGAGCTTGGTCCATGCTTGGCCTGTGCTGACTTGCACGATGTTTTGGATTTCCGCACTGGGTTGGTGGTGAGGGTTAGGAGTGGTGAAGATATTTTGCTTTTGATCGAATAGAATAATAGCTAATACTGTCTGACCATGAAGAGATATTTTACTAGAACAGTAGTGTCGTTCCTTCCCAGCTCAAAACATCATTCTCTATGCTTGTGCACTTAGTTGAACAATTCTGATGGTGTTATATGCATGTGCTGAACGTCAAGCGAGCAGCTCATGTGCTAAAATCATGATGATTTCTCCCGAACTGACACAGGAGTGCCAATGCATATCATCACTCAAGCTCCCAAGACATACCTACCTGAGATGTCAGATTCTGCAGATAAAATCCGATTGAATGGTCCACAGAAAGAGCCGAGCTCTTCATGTCGGGGAAGACAAGCATTCCAAGAGGGCAGGCAGGATCAATGCAAGTACCACCAAAAGGCTTCCGTGTCCCCTTGTATTGGTCTGAGCGAGCAGTTGGAACGATCTTGTGACATCGTTTAAAGTATGCAAAGTGGTGAGCGTCAGACCCGATCATGGTGAGAGCGACCGGTCCCCGCCAGGAGCCGATATCACCTTTGCGTGGCTAACCGAACTGTCGTCCTCTCAGCTTGCTCAACGCCACAATTGAGAGCGAAAAGATCAGATGTGACGTTTCACCGAGAAACCCAGTCAAACGCTTGAGCAGATCGCCTTGCTCCCCAGGTCGTCTTGCAATTTGGGTATTTGCCTGTTCTCAGGACACCAGGGTTCAGTCTGAACGCAGACCAAGACAGCACCCTGCTAGCCCTTGTGGCTCCAAGATTTGTGACAGCTACAACTGCCGCGCTATAGACTCAAGGCTCGGAGCACCCGGTGATGCGATAAGAGGTAGCGGCACCATACCCACGCGTCAGACCACGCAAATAGAGTGCCTGCAGCTGATATATGAGATTCAAGGCGTCAAATCGACCGTGGTGCCGGTTCGGCGGCGCATGGTGCCATTGCCCACTTTCCTCAAGTTGTCCCGTACATCGGGCGGTTAAGATGGAGTGGCCTCCACAGTAGGCCGTCGCCCTCGCTTGCTGGCGAGTCTCGTGTTGACAGGAGTCGTCGAGGGGTCAACGACGAGGTTGGGAGGTAGTCGACGCTATGTTCCAGTAGATCGTTCATTTCCCTTGCTGCAACCTATGAACAATGAACTTGAGCTTTCGTCCGAGATCTGCCAAGGTTTGTTGTGAAGCCGTTGGCGAGTTGTCCAGTTGGCAATACGTTCGTTGATGGCGTATCGTACAGCAACAACCACTCATGCGTGCTGGCTAGATCTCCTCATCTGAGAGGATTGTCGCTTCGAGGTCGGCCCACCGGCATGCTTCGACAGCATAGATTGTATAGTAGTCGACATTGGATCTCGCTTCCGATCAGACCCCTACCCGGGCTTGAGAAACGGCACTTCCAGGTACTATAGACGAGAAGTGGGTATTGCTGCGGTATGGTGGTGGCGATTGTAAAGAGCCTAAATGGCGTAGATCTTATCAGAATGTCAACATCATGACCGGAGCAGACGACCAGCTTTGAAGGATGAATCCATTGAGTTTTGTGGGATAGAGATTCTTCGGCCCAGCTCTCCGAGCCATCTTTGGATTTGATTTGAGCCTGAAGAAGGACATATTAGGGAGGTCTGAGAAGATCGACTAGACCATCTCGTTAGTTGTCAGTTTCAATAAACCATAGCAGTTCACTTGCCTCTCTTACCGAGCTCCCTAAAAGTGCACACAACCGCCGGTCAAACATGCTGTGACTAGCTTCGATGACAGGATAACTCCTAGTCGTAGCGACTTGGAACTAAGGTATGCACGAGGTAGCACTGCAGCTATCTGCATAGGGCTCAGTTAGTAGATGCTGCCATCGTGGACAAACAAGCTAGAAGCCCTAATTCTTACGGATAAACATTCCGAGAAGCCCCCTGGCATAAACAGGGTCGACTGCTGTTCGAAGGATCACCTCGCTACCGGACGGGACACTTCAGCCTCGAGGTTACTCGAAGTGAAGGGCGGTTAGCATGAAACTGTCGACGGCCAGGGGCTCAGTCAACACGAAGCCAAGTCAACTTGAACGCGAAGTCAAGATAGGAAGCTCGAGCTCTCGAGGCTCCCCACTTCCCGGTTGTGACGGGAGATGGTGCCGCAAAACTGTGTGACAGGTAGTCTGGGGCGTAACACCAAACGGAGAAGATCACCAGTTGATCAATCGGCGATGGTGGAAGGTTATATTCCGCCGTCCATATGCGCCAGCCTCGCCTGTCGTGTTTCCTATGCCTTTGGACGGGGGTCCTCCCTCCATTTGGTAGATATCCAAGTCCATGTGACCCAGTAATATTGGCCTTTACCAAATGAGGCTCTCCTGGGGGGTAGTATTATCCAGACAGTGCGCCAGAAGCACCCGTCAAGCTGGGGGAGGGCACCATTCGGAACAATCGCATGCAGAGACAGGCCGGAATGCAACGGGACCGATTGTCGACAACGTAGCAAGCAGGTAAAACATGCAGATGGGAGCCACCAGTCCAAAAGCCGCCCAACGGTATCGCAGCGTAGGCGAAGGGGGGTGGCGAGCCAATGGACAAGACTTGTTTGAGACGACGAGGACATAGCACGGCTGCTATTGCATGAATGTGTCCTAAGATTTCAGATGGGATTGGCATTTCATTGCCAGAAAGAATCAGAAGAACAGGACTATCCGTATCGGAAACCAGCAGTTGGCCATTGTTGGATGGTGGGAAAATGCAACGGTCTCTGTAAAGCTGGACGGAGAGCCGGGAACCCCAAACCGGGCCGATCGGGAAGACAAGAAGGCTTCAGGATTGATGATCTGAGGCTTGGGAACTCGGCATGCTGGAGAATAATAATTGGAAATTGGCGCAGACATGTCCACACTCCACACTTCGACGTCGTTGATGGTAGTCTCGAAACACGTGAGTGAGATATAATCGGGAACGAAGCAGCCACATCCGGAACAGCGGGACTAGGCAGCGGCCCCTGCTTCGAGATCTTATCGTGGTCTGTGCTTCCCCCAGAGGAGTTTTAGTAGTGATCAAAGCTTTTATTAGGGACCTGGATTCCACTGTTTCTCGAAGGCTTCACGATGTTCTACTGTACACAGGAGCAGCAATTTTCTCCGATTTGTTGTTCAGCTTTGACTGTCGTGCTTGAAACTGCGTCTGTGGTCTGCGCCTATGGTTCGCAGCGTGTCGTCACCTTTCGGAGAAAACAAACAGCCTCCACACCAGGAACACCAAACCACCAACAACTGCGCCCCTTGCCAAGGATCACACCTTGAATCTCCGACCACCGGGTTTGATGCCGTTAGCTCCTGCAACAGACCCAGCAGGTGGTTGTATTTCGCCGACCACGACCGGCACTGGTTCCCCATCTTGAACCTCGCCATTGGGATATTCACAGCTTTGGATGCGTTTATGCGGGTGGCTGGCACCGTCTGAGAAGAAGAGAAAGCTAACAGATTTGAAATGAAGCCCGAAATCCTCCTACCTTAGCACCGAGCAGCTGTTGTTCGTAAAGTATCAATTTCTGGTTCATGGAAATCAGGTTCGCCGTTCCGATGGGCAGGCAGAGGCATCTGACCATGCAATTGGTGAGATTCCCGGATTCGCAACATCCTGGAAGATTAGATACACATACATCCCTCTTCAGACGGCATCTGCACTTCAACCCGCCAACCGCCACCGCTTGGTCGGCCATCGAGATCAGACGGTACCTTCATTAACAAGCATGCATGCCGCTAAGGTGCGGGCATCAGGTGCAAATTGCCATTTTGTCCCTTTATACTGGATTCTGTCGATGGCCTTCATATTCGATATCACCACCATTTATATAAAAATGGGCGGCAGTGACCTGCTGCCGCGGACCACACGCACATCCTACTCAAGAGGAGCCATGCCCTTCGCAAGCAACCAATCCGCCGCCTTGCAGCCCGCCTTTCTGCGAGGATACCGGCCCGGAGTCCCGTTCCAAGCGAAATCCTCACCGCATCCGCACCGGGCCACCCAGGACCTCAACCAGCAGGAATTGCCTTCCCCGCAAAACGCCCAGTTTCCGCAAAACCGCCGTTGATGGTTTCCGATTGCATGCTCCGTCCCGTTACCCTGTTTCGTCGTGTTCTGTCTCCCTAACGAGTCTCAAACCCACAGCCGGTAAGTGGCTCGTTGTTGCCGGCTTCACCATCATTATGCCCCATTGATCAGCACTCGATTGTGGATGCCAGCATACCAGTCTGAAAAAGATACGAGAGGCCATAGATTAGAGGAGGAGAGCTCGTGGGGTTGGTGGCCGGCAACCATCATCGTCAAAACTGGACCTCTGTGTTTGTTGTTTCAACACTATTCTCGAGTTTTGACTAATGGGGAAGCCAAGACTCCCCACTTCTTTCGGCCAGGCGCTTGTTATTATCGGCTTGTCATCGTTGGGCTTTCATCATATTTGCGTTGGCTGGCTCTTCACCGACACCATATTTGTTTCTTCATGATTGAGTTGTAAGAATGCGGCATTCGCTATTGATTCAACAACTGATTTTTTTTGGGAGTACTACAACACTAAGACGGACCTACCGCCGCATGGACAGGGATCAAGCAATTAAGTCTGGAGACGCCGTTGCAAAGCCGTCATGGTCGCCACGTTACCTGCCTCCCGCCTGGCTGATCTGCGGAGCCTAGAAACCCACCGCCCGGCGGCATGGGTGTGGTTGGTGAGCTCGAGGTTGCACGGAATTCCATCCTTGCCTCAAAATCTTTACTTTCTCTATCACAATTTTCATATGACACGGGCTGGCCACGTGCTGACCACGATGAAAACAGGGGGGTGTGGCAGAACAGCTGTGTCTAGACCTCAAAGCGGCGTCTCCTGGGGAATTAACTGCGGTGCATCGCGGCAATATCAACAAAAGTCGTCAACTCGATCCCAGGGACAGTCACGCAGTTTCCTGCTGCTTGGCATCGTTCAGGGATTCAAGATGCCCCAGGCTTGGCCTTGCCAGGGAGCCCACAGTTGTTTACACCCCCCACTCGGCCAAATCCCCCCTGCCTGCCTGTCAGAACAAGCGTCTTATGCAATAATCGTTGCGGGTCGTCCTGTCCTTTAAGCTGGATAGCAAACAATGCTACCGCTCATACGGTCCGTTCCTACCGACATGGCTATTCTCACCCGAGGGCAACAATCAAAAAGATCACGGACAGGTCCCATCAAGTGACGCGACCGCCCTGATCTCTCACTCCCGTTTCCACTCACACTCCCCACGCTGCGGCGCCGTTCGGACATCCTGGTTGAACCTGGGTGCCTTGCTCTCACACGCCCGCCATTGCTCGAGGACGTGACATATACAAGCGGTATCTTTTGGCTGTGATGTCTCCTCAAAGGTTCATCAACCGAGTGTCCCCCCCTCTCACAGGGATACCATCCCCCCAAGTCTGGTCCCTACTCCGTTTGTACTCCACGGACCTAACCTCTTCCTTGTAATAACGCCCCATGAGGTCCCCCATTGAGCCGTTTTCGATATCTCACGGGTAATGTTCGGGAAAGAGACTCGGCCATCTTGATCCCCTTGAGGGTGTTGCCCGACTTATATACGATTCGGTGCTCCCTCTTTTGCAGTTTGTCCCAAGTGGGAATAAACGAGATAGACAGCCGTGCTGTGACTCTACTTTCTTCGACGCATGATACGAGCTTGATCTTTGATAAGTTCAAGCCTCGATCCCCAATCTCGAACCTCTCTCTCATCTTTGTTCCACCCCCTTTCCCAGGCTGGCGTGGCTTCCGTCCCTTTCCCCATTTGGTTCCAGAAGAGTGAAGAAGAAGAGAGCCAAGATGACGACCATCACGCCCGTGGGGAGCCTTGAAATCAGCCCGGCCACCAGCCCAGGCATTGAAGACCCCAATGCCTCTCCCATCGGCAGTATCGATAGCAATGTGACCCCGGACACTGAGTTCTCACCGCCTGACAGCCCGTTTCGGCACCACGCTACCTTAGCTCCCGTCAAGGAGAAGCGGGAGCTGGCGAGGAAGAAACTTTCGACCTTGACCCTTGAGGAGAAGGTGGGGTCTACCAGTTTTCCAGCGAGAGGACTTTATGCTGACGTCGAACAGGTCTCCTTGCTAACCGCCGCAGACTTTTGGAGAACCAAGTCGATTCCGGAGAAGAACATTCCTGCAGTGAAGACCAGTGACGGGCCCAATGGTGCTCGTGGTGGCATTTTCGTGGGTGGAACAAAGGTAGGCTAACGCCCCTGGGGTTGGTTGTCTCCCTCGCTGTTGCGCTAACACTGTTGGCAGGCAGCCCTCTTCCCCTGCGGCATCTCGCTGGCAGCAACGTGGAACAAGGACATCCTCCGTCAGGTCGGTCAGCACCTTGCTGAGGAGGCGAAGGCTCGTCAGGCCAACATACTGCTTGCACCTACTGTGTGCATGCACAGACACCCACTTGGTGGAAGGAACTTTGAATCTTTCTCTGAAGACCCCCTTTTGACTGGCAAGCTTGCTGCTCAGTACATTCAAGGTCTTCAGGAGAATGGAGTGGCTGCTACCATCAAGCGTCAGTACCTACATATTCAACAATCTTGGAGACTGAAACTGACCAGATCTAGACTTTGTTGGCAACGAGCAGGAAACCCACCGGTTGACAATCGACTCCAAGATTGCCGAGAGGCCTCTTCGCGAGATCTACCTCCGTCCCTTCGAGATCGCGGTCCGCGAGGCCAAGCCATGGGCTGTCATGTCCTCATACAATCTGGTGAACGGTGTTCATGCCGATATGAACGAGCATCTCCTCAAAGATATTCTCCGTGGAGAATGGCAATTTGACGGGTGAGTGGCAACTTTGATTATCGGAGCCAAGCGATAAGCGAGCACGATCAACTGACCGACCCCTCCTGCAGAGCCGTCATCTCGGACTGGGGCGGCACCAACTCTACGGCGGAATCTGTCAAGCATGGGTGTGACATCGAGTTCCCCTACTCGACCAAATGGCGCTTTGAAAAGGTGCTCGAGGCTATCAAGGATGGCAAGCTCACCGAGGCTGATGTTGACCGAGCAGCCGAGAATGTGCTTACCCTTGTCGAGCGCGTCAAGGGCAGCGATATGACTGCTGAAGCAGAGGAACGCGAGGATGATCGGCACGAGACAAGAGAGCTTATCCGCGAGGCGGGCGTTCAGGGTCTTGCACTTCTCAAGAACGAGAGGTCTATTCTGCCTATCAACCCCAAGACGGCCAAGGTTGCTGTCATTGGTCCTAACGCCAACAGGGCCATCGCCGGTGGTGGTGGAAGCGCCAGTCTTAACCCTTACTACAACACCCTTCCCCTTGATAGCATCCGAAGGGTTGCTCAACAGCCTGTCACTTATGCTCAGGGATGTCACATTCACAAGTGGCTCCCTGTGGCATCTCCTTACTGCAGCGATAGGACTGGGAAGCAGGGTGTGACAATCGAGTGGTACAAGGGAGATCAGTTCCAAGGCCAGCCTGTTGTCACCCAGAGGCGGAGCAACACTGACTTGTTCCTTTGGGATTCGGCGCCTCTGGCTCAGGTTGGCCCGGAATGGTCGGCTATCGCCACGACCCATCTCACGCCGACTACTACTGGCAAGCACACCATCTCGTTCATGTCTGTCGGCCCAGGCAAGCTCTTTGTCAATGGTCGACTTGCGCTTGATCTTTGGGACTGGACAGAGGAAGGGGAGGCCATGTTTGATGGGTCTATCGACTATCTCGTCGAGGTTCAGATGGAGGCCGGCAGACCGGTGGAGCTTCGCGTCGAGATGACCAACGAGCTCCGGCCTATTGCCAAGCAGAAGCAGTTCAACATGACGCACAAGTACGGTGGTTGCCGTATCGGCTTCAAGGAGGAAGACCAGGTTGACTACCTCCAGGAAGCGGTCGATGCTGCCAAGGCTGCCGATGTCGCTGTTGTTATCGTTGGTCTGGATGCCGAGTGGGAGTCTGAGGGGTATGATCGTCAGACTATGGACCTGCCTTCTGATGGGAGCCAGGATCGTCTTGTGGAGGCTATTGTCAAGGCGAACCCGAACACGGTTGTGGTGAACCAGTCCGGGTCACCGGTGACGATGCCTTGGGCTGATAGGGTGCCTGCCATTATCCAGGCTTGGTATCAGGGGCAGGAGGCGGGGAATGCGCTGGCTGATGCGCTGTTTGGGTTGAAGAATCCTAGTGGGAAGTTGCCTGTAGGTTTCTACCCCCTATTCATCACCATATATATGCGAGCGAGTATGTTGCTAACGAAATCATCAGTGCACCTTTCCCAAACGCCTCCAAGACACGCCCGCCTACCACAACTGGCCGGGCGAGAACCTCGAGGTCGTTTACGGCGAGGGTCTCTACATTGGCTACCGGCACTACGACCGGACAAAGATTGCTCCTTTGTTCCCCTTTGGTCACGGGTTGTCTTACACCACCTTTGAATACGGGCGTCCCTCCCTCAGCTCCAAGGTCCTCACCCCCGACAACACCATCGAGCTTACTGTCGCGGTTAGCAACATCGGTGACGTTGCCGGGTTGGAGACGGTGCAGATCTATGTGAGGGATGAGAAGAGCAGGTTGCCAAGGCCGGAGAAGGAGCTGGCGGCGTTTGAAAAGGTGGAGTTGGAGGCTGGGGAGACGAAGCATTTGAGGATAGGGCTGGATAAGTATGCGGTTGGGTATTTCGACACGAGTTTGGGGAGGTGGATTGCTGAGGAGGGGAGGTTTGAGGTGCTTGTGGCGGCGAGCGCGGAGGATGTCAAGTATGTTTTGATCTCTCCCCCCCCTTTCATTTTTACTGTTTTGTGTTTGACATGGAGCTGACATGGTGATTAGGTACTCTGTTGGGTTTGAGGTCAAGGAGTCGTTTACTTGGGTGTTTTAGACGTCCTCCTCGAGAAGTGGACTCTTTTCTTTTTCTCGGTTTCTTCTTTTTCGATACCTTCTTTTCGGCATTGCATTATTTCGAGAGATTTTGTTTTTTTACTTTCTTTTTCTTCACTTTTTCAAAGGGCATGACACCGACAACCCCTGGGAAGACTACCTACTAGGGGTCACTGTTTGGTTTTTGCCTATGTAATGGGAACAGGGATGGATGGATATGGGTCACATCACTGGATAGGTAGTTATCGCTGCAGGACCTCCCTCCCCGACTGATGAAGGTTTTTTTTGGGGGGGTTGGGGGAACGGAGGGTGGGGAAATTCGGGAACGCAGGTAACGATGGGGGTCCCTTTTTCGCTATTCTGGTTGTTCGACTAAGTAGGCTTCGTCATTGTATATGGCACCGCCCGCCCTCTTGTAGCAGGGGGGGAGGGGCGTGGGGAGGGTTGTCTGCAGCGAGGGAAGAAAAAGACGGAAGGAAGATGCCTAAGGGCTGGTCTGGGTTGGATAGTATCCTGAAGCTTACCCACCAACGTTGTTGTGTTGCATTCACTACATTTGCTCCCACCCACACATGACATGTGCTTTGTCTTGATGCTCCGTGTAGTGAGGAGCATATCATGATAAATAACCCGGAGGACGGTAGCGAAGGTGGTGATGGTGTGCTTGTATACTGGTCTTTGGCTTGCTTGTAGTGTGTTGTGTAGCAGTAACTCTTCGAGGAGGCTCTTGACTGGAAGTGTCTCCAATGACAACGGGTTATATCATGGCCAAGATCCGGAATGGCACCGGATAGGTTGTGTGGCGCTGGTCACGATGTCGTAGTGAGTAGAGAGGCTATATAGGCTTACCAGACTTCTGGAGAGGTCCAGGTGTGCTATTTAGGGTGTGGGGCTATCTGTGATCATGAAGTTTAATATACCCCCACGGATAGTCTCCGAGGAGGACGTCTGCTTGTTGAATTGGAGTTGAAGAGGATGTGAGGCAAGGTGTGATGGGTAATATATTTCGGGACTGTCATGTGTGAGCTCCGTTCATCTCGTGTCCATCTGAATAGGCTTGTGGGGTCGTAGCTAGGTGGTGATGGATATGCTTAAACTAGAGTGCTGCCTAGACCTCGACTTTAAGCATACCCTTATGTTTTGTTGCTACCTGTGTTTGATATAGCAATTTTTGCGATCATTGAGATGATGAGCCAGTAGGTCTGTTGGATAATCAAAGGACCGCAAAGTGCTCCGTAGACCTGAGAAATTCGTGTCGTTTATTTAGCACGGCAGTGGGAATCTTGTTTCAGAGTGACGTTTCTGTTTTGTGACTCCGCCTCTCTGCTCAATCAACGAACCCCTGGGCTCCATTTCAACGACGCTCATGATGATGATGGGCGGATGTGCACCTATCATTGCGCACTCAGAAAGATTGGTGAGTTACCTCCGGAAAACGGAGACGAAAATCCATGTTGGCTGTCACACTGCAAAAACAAAACGCTGCTGTGTGACGCTGTTGAGAGTTTATACACTTTGCAGACCAGCATAATGCAAATGGTGGTGGTGGTTGGTGGAGAAAAGGGGGTCAACCGAGAAGCCCAAGATGCTGGGTCTGGCCACGCTTCAGCTGAGGCTAACATCGGGGACAGGGGGGCCTTTTGTTCCGATCCACTAATCTTCCATCTCCCACGTCTCCGCAACTGGAGCCGTTCCGTCGACAGGGGGTTAAACGAACGTCTGCCGTGGTCAGCAGCTTTGAGTTTGCCTTTTCCATCCTGCCATTTCTTTCTTTGTTTTTTTCTTATTATTTTTTCTTTTTGCTGAAAAGGAGAAGAGAAACGGGCGGTTATACTAAACGGAGCTATTTTCGATTGATTTTGGGAATTGAGTTCATCCCGTTTCCAGAATACACACACACTCGACGGAAGACACGGATAAAACGGCCCTGCACTTGTCTAATTTACGGATACCCTTTCCCCGCGTTTACGCACCCGACCTGAACCTTACCTTGGGGAGCCCGGCAGAAACCACCGTTTCCCATCTTCCCGGATCGACGAACCTTTCCCACGAAACCCTAGATCCTAGATCCCGAGCGTCACCGGACCGAGAATCACCTCTATCCCCTGCCGAACGAAAGAACACTTAACGGTTGCAGCAGCAGGGGCATGGCTGCTACCACCTCGCATCATCGTCATGGCCCGGCCGTATAACTATGGCGGCGGCAGCTACAAGCCAAAGCAGCAATCCACCAACAGCTGGAATCAACACGCCTACGGCTACTCGTCCAATTTCTTCAGTGGGGACGGTTCCAGCAATAATGGCAACAACACCTCCCTCGTCGAGGACTTTGTGGCCTTTGTGAAAAAGGCCCTCCGGGCTATGGTCAAGTTCTGGCGCGAACGTGGCCGGCGGATGGTGGTTACGGCGATTTATAATACGGTGCACCAAATAAAGAGGAATTTGACGTATAATCGGATACTCAGCGTTCCGCATTTGCTGGTTGGGTTCTGGGTTGTGGTGTTGCTTTGGGGGGAGAGATGGACTTTCCATTCCATGGTGGAAAACTGCGCGTGGGAGAATTGGGAGAACTGGGTATGTTTTTCCCTTTTGCTACTTCTGGCAGGCAGGGTGGCATGTGTGCTAACCATGACAACAGCCCGCCGGCGCCCAACCCCACCGCGTAGCCCTCGTTGCCGACCCCCAGCTCATCGATCCTCATTCTTACCCTGGCCGACCATGGCCAATACAAGCCCTGACGATTAAGTTGACGGACAACTACATGAAGCGTGGGTATGGTCAGCTTCAGGAGCAGCTCGACCCCGACAGTGTCTTCTTCCTCGGTGACCTCTTTGACGGCGGCAGAGAATGGAAGACGGCCCACGGCGACTTTAGAGACCCCTCGTGGGGACCACACCCGAAATCGGAACAGAAATACCTAAAGAGCTGGAACAAACACTATGGGGAGTTTTACTGGCTGAAGGAGTATGGCCGGTTTGGGGAGATATTCATCAAGCCGTGGATCAAGTCCGGGATGGAATCCGGCAAGGAACACAAGCGCAGGAAGTTCGTCACGAGCTTACCAGGAAATCACGACTTGGGGTTTGGGGCGGAGATCAAAGTCCCCGTGAGGAACCGATTCGAGACGTACTTTGGGGAAGGGAACAGGGTGGATGTTGTGGGGAATCACACGTTTGTTTCGGTCGACTCGGTGTCGATGAGTGCGGAAGTGTCGCCCGAGGCGGCGAGACATGACCTCAAGCCGATTTACATGCCTACCAAGATCTTTCTGGATAGGCTGCAATGGCTGAAGCCGATCGCGGTGGAGAAGGAGCTGAGGATGATGAGAGGGGAGGTGCCGGAGGTGCAGTTTAAGCACAGGATTGAGGAGGTGGATAAGGCGAATTTCAAAGACAAGCCCAGTCTTGGTACTGAAAAGACGCCGGAGCTGCCGACGATTCTGCTGAGCCATGTCCCGCTTTATCGACCGCCTGGGACGCCCTGCGGCCCGCTGAGGGAGAGACACCCCCCTGCGAAACCACCAAAGGGACAGACGGGGTCGGTGGTGCCTGATCATGGGAACGCTATTTCTGTTTCGAGGGGGTATCAGTATCAGAACGTGCTTGACGAGCAGCAGTCGATTAGTTTGTTGAAGAAGGTTGGCAATGTGGTTCACGCCTTTTCGGGGGATGATCATGACTATTGCGAGCTGGTGCACTCTGAGGAGCAGCGGAGGGTTAAGGAGATCACGGTGAAGAGTATCAGCATGGCGATGGGGGTGAATAAACCGGGGTTTGTCCTGGTTAGTCTGTGGAACCCACTGGACAGCGGGGGGAAGCCGCTTAATCCGGATCAGAAGCAGACGCTGCAGACGCACTTGTGCATTTTGCCTAGTCAGTTGAGCACGTATATTCGCTACGTGGGGTTTGCGATCATTTCGGTTATCATTTTGGTGGTGAGGGCGTTCTTGGTGCCGGTTTTGAAGCTCACGCCTTTTGCGCTGGAGCCGGAGGTGCAGGGGGTGCAGTATAGGGGGAGTGCACTGCTGCCTGTGTTCAAGGCAAAGGTGGAGGATTATGATGAGTTTAGGTTTCCTTCTAGTGGGCTGGGGTCTTCGAGAAGTGGTGGGGGGAAGGGGAGGGATAGGAGTGGTTCGAGTGTTGGTGGACATGGACATAGCAGGGAGAAGAGCAAGGGGAAGTGGAGGGGGCAGCCGAGGATAGAGATTAGGAGCGATGAGAGGGAGGAGGAGAAGTGGAGGCCGAAGGGGAGGGGGATGGGTTATAACAAGGGAAAGGATACGGTTGCGGCGGTGGTGGTGAGGGAGATGTGGACTACGATTTGGAGGGCGACGTGGATGGTTTTGGGGTGGTTTGGGTGGTTGAACTGGTAGGGGGGGTAATGTATATTTTCTGGGGGGGGGGAGAGGAGAGCTTTTGTATAAATTGAACACAGGAGGTGAAGCAAAAAGAGGGGGGGCATATATGTATGGGTTTGTGATTTTGAAGTGATATATATATATTGGTGTCTGGGTAGCATATTTTATGGATGGCATGGTGGTTTTTTCAACAGTGCGGCTCAGTGGTGTTCGGCTGCTGTTACCTCTTCTGCTACCGGTGCTTATCCTGGGATTTAAGAGAGATTTGACCCTAGATCTCATGACCTGACTTGATGATGATGAGCAACGCGCGGGCAGGCTTTCGATTGGCACTTTGTGCGAGGGTGGAGAGGTGTAGGTTACATGCTTGCGAAACAGACGCCTTGGAAGGAGGAGACGCGATCGAATTGCACCGTCACGCTTTCAGCGCGTCAAGTTCGCAACCGCGTTTAAAGTGGTTTTGTAGGTTGCAGGGGTGCACGATTGGGCGGTTGGCTGAGGGGGAGCTGCCAATGAGAATTCAGCCCTGTCGTGTGACGAGACAACGGGTGCATTTTTTTGCTGCAGGCACGCAGGAGGGAGCCGAGAGGGGGAGACGTGACGTGACGTGACGAAGGTGGAATGATAATGGGATTGTCTTGATATGGGGGAGTTATGACGAGTTGATATAGTGGGAAAGAGGGTTCAATTGGATAAGATACAAGCATAAAAACCGGGCTGGAAGTTCAAGATTTCAAGAATTTCAAGATCTGGAAACTACCCCGGACCCGGACCCCGATCGATGGCACCCACGTGACGTGTTAATTGATTTAAGTTTTTGACGCCAAAAGACCGCGTCTTTTCGCGTATCACAATGCGAGGGATAAATAAAGAAAAGAGGAAGCACTTAACTTAAATAGGGATGATCAAAACAGGATACCCCATTGTTCAGCCAGCCATCTGCATTTTTGAACTTGTCCTGATTTGTATAGTATTCCTTGTTTGCAAGGGCTGGCAGGCAGCAGCAGGATTTCCTTCCTGGGAGCGAGCGCGGCTGTTTGACCCTTTTTTTGTTGAAAGGTGATTAATCAATCGACTGTGCCTGACAACAACAGCTTGGACCTCCTCTTTGCGACCTCCTCCTTGACCTTGTCTTGTATCCAGCAGTGCTTGCTTGGTGTTTGGCGTGAAAGATAAACAATCCAATCGCAACTTCCTTCCTCTTTTTTTCTTCAGATTTCTCCACACAGCTTACACCGACTTTGAGCTTGTCTGTGCCTTTGTTGTCTTGTCAACGACGGCCCTTTTTCTCCCTCTCTCACTCTTCGACTTTGACTTTTTTTTTCTTTTTCACTTTGACCTTTTGATCTCGACTTTGCGTTGAGGAATCGAAAAATCTCACGACTTTATACAATATTACTTTCTGTAGCCCTTTTGAGGGGAGGGGGGGGTATCACCAGTGACAATAGCTTCGTTATCAAAGACTCTCCCTCGACAACTTTTCACCTTTACAACCTCTTTGTTTTCTTCTTCCCTTCTTCACCGACTACTATTACTCCGTCTCCGCCGACATATCCCAGCAACGACTCCACCACAACCTCACCGTCACCGCCTTCTTGTCCTCACCACAAACCCACCTCGATCAGTCCCTTCCTTTTTCGCCTCTTCTCTTCTCACAATGTCGACCCTCAAACGCAAAGCCGGCGCCCAAACAGGCGGAGCCGACGCGAAAAAGGTCAAGCAAGGAAGCATCATGTCTTTCTTCGGGAGCTCCCCGGCGGCGAAACCGTCAGCTACCAACAGCTCCGGCCTCCCCACCACCCCCAACTCATCCTTCACCGCGCCCACCGACCCAGCCGCCGCGAGGTTTGACAAGGACAAATGGGTGGCCACCCTGACGCCAGAGCAGAAAAGGCTGCTGCAGCTCGAGATTGACACCCTTGACGAGAGCTGGCTGGTGCACCTGAAGGATGAAATCGTCACAAAGGAGTTTTTGGATCTAAAGAGGTTTTTGGAGAGGGAGTATGCTGCTGGAAAAAAGATTTTTCCCCCAAAGGAGGATAGTTTAGCTCTATGGTATTGTTTCCCCCCTCTTTCCTTCATCCCCATCCATTCCCTTGCTAACATATATAATGATCACATAGGTCCCGACACACCCCCTTCACAACCACACGGATTGTAATTCTCGGTCAAGACCCCTACCACAACCACAACCAAGCCCACGGTCTGGCGTTTAGTGTCCTCCCCCCTACTCCTGCGCCCCCTTCGTTGAAAAACATATATACCTGCCTCGGAAAAGACTACCCCTCGTTCAACCCGCCCCCCAACAAGGCCGGGCTGTTGACTCCCTGGGCCAAACGTGGGGTTCTCATGCTCAACACGTGCCTTACCGTCCGCGCTCACGAGGCAAACTCGCATTCCAACCGCGGCTGGGAAAAGTTTACGCAAAAGTGCATTGATCTCGTCGCCGCCAAGCGAACAACGGGAGTGGTTTTTTTGGCGTGGGGCACGCCGGCTGGGAAGAGGGTGCTAAAGGTTGATCAGAAGAGGCATCTGGTGCTGAAGAGTGTGCACCCTTCTCCGCTGAGCGCGTCGAGGGGGTTTTTTCAGTGTGGGCACTTTAGGAAGGCGAATGAGTGGCTCGGCGAGAGGTATGGGCTGAAGGGGAGGGTGGACTGGGCGCTGAATGAGGGGGAGAGTGTCTTGGAGAGTGACGAGCCGAGTCCGAGGCCGAGGGTGGAGAAGGGGGAGGTTGCGAAACGGGTGGAGGAGGTGGTGAGGGGGGCGGTTATGGGACGGAGGGTGGATTTGAATGAGATTGCTAGGGGGTTAAGTAGGAGTCCGAAGGGGGGGAGTTGTTCGCCAAAGGAGGAGAAGGGGAAGAAGAAGGAGGAGGAGGTGGAGGGGGATGATGATGGGGAGAATGTGGATCCGGGGGAGGAGGAGGAGTGGGATGCTTTGATGAGGGAGAAGGGGTTGTAAAGGGGAGGGGTTGTGGGCTGTTTTTAGTTTTCGAACGCCTTTGTTTTGCGGGAGGTGTTTTTGACGGAAAGGGTCAGGCTGGTGTGCTTTGTGAGCAGTGTTTAGGTGTTGGAGAGGGGGCTTTTTGACGGGGTGTATCAAGGTTGATGATGTTCCCCGGGTTGCGAGGTGTCCAACTTTTTGCTTTTTTTGCGATCAGTTTTTGCAGGATTATTATGATGGAACACAAAGAATGATATATGGCATAAGGATGAAATTTGGCAAAGGAAACAGGGCTGGGTTAGCATCGTATGGATGGACTTGTATGGATTTATGAAAAAGAGGAAGGAAATTTGACTTTCTCTGACCTTATGTTTTGGCGGGAAGTTGCTCGGCTGGGAATTCGAGCATATGGTGTTTGCTTTTGCGTGTTTTGTTACTCTGTTGGTTGTTTAGATATATATCTATCGAGGAGCGTTTGAGATGACTTGATCAATAATTCTGGGGGGGGGGTTTTTTTCTCTAACATTGATATTTTGATTTGCGGTTTCATTTTGCGGTTTTTATTTTTAGAGTCAAGTCAAGGCCAATGATTTCTCCCAAAAAGGCTGGGAAAGCCAAGTGCCACGCCACCAGCCAATCTTCCCATTTTCTAGCTCTGGTGTGGCCGCATATAGCGACGCCCGTGGCGGAGATTTCACCAGATATATTTCGCCCAGTGAGACATTCCATACAATGGCATACTGCCCACCAGATAAGTGCTGTACAACTCAGGGGCTTCAAGTGACAGCTTCCGGGGCAGTCAAAAGTGGCGTGTTCCAGCTTCTGTACTCTGTGCTCTGGTGCGCCCTGCTGTGTAAATACTCACTCGCCCCCCTGAACCGATCGCAGAAAATACCACGCAGCCTCTCTGCATGCTCGAAAAAAAGCCATCCGAGAATTCGGTGGCGGTGTTTGGTGTTTCTTCCGTCAAAGCTGTAACTTGCTTCTTCGCAACTTGTGTGACCCAGCCGGTGATACCAACGGAAATTGAGCCGCCGCCAGTCTCAGGAGGTTGGCAACCGAATTTCTCGAATGGAAACCCTCGAAGAAAGTGGACACACTTCTCTGGATCGGCCCGGCCCGAGTCCTGATAACGAATTCCCGATGCCGATGAGGTTCGAGTCTTCTTTAACAACCGTCCGGCATCGCTTCCGAGTCACGGTATCAGATGGTCAGATCAGAACCACAGATCGGCTTTACTAGGTCGGCCGAAACGCTCCCTTGGTGATACTGTCCGGGAACTTTCACACCAAGAACGCAGACTTGATCGTTTCAGCAAACGAGTGAACGGAGGCACAACCGACGGGATGGTGCACGAGTAATGACCCCTCTGCATCTTTAATAATGACATCACTGTATCTGTTCCTGCATTTGTCGTCGAGTCTGTGCCATCCGCACCTGAGGGTTAGCGTGCCGGCAGATGGCGAGGCCTGCCCGGGGTATCCTATGCTGATGAGTACGGGGATGGTGCTGGAACAACATGAGAGCAGATCCCCCAAGTCTGAGAGCCGCAATTCCCGTACCACGGCGAGAAAATGTGGGTAACGGACAACATGTAGTCCCAGTGTTTACCTTGTGATGATAACAAGAACACATCAGGGTCTAAAGAAGCTTACACCGGAAGAAGCCGAGTTCCTAGACAGGAAGGCGGCCCGCCTGAAGGAGAACCGTGATTGGCTGGGAGGCGGCGATCAAGGGTCTGGAGATCAAGCTGCGACATGGCCGATGTTGTCCGGGTCATGCCAGCTCTTGGGGAGAGTGGGGGGAGATAGCTCGGCAAGCTACGGGATCGCAGCATGGACTGGAAGCTTGCATCGAATTGCGAACGGATATCTGCGACGGCGCGAGAGTTACCGAGTTGACGGATGGCTGGGGTGTTGTTGATCGAGAACTTCACGGTAGCGAGGGCTAGTGTCTAGAGGGCTTTGAGCTCCATGTAGTAAAGCTGGCTGTAGGTATCACGAGCATGATGCCGTGCATGCTCGTCCGATCATGATTTTTACTGTCAAGGGCCAAAGCGAGGGCTCTGCTGCTTCTTGACTGACAGCTTGCAGGCGAGCGCATGCAGGTCCAGTCCAGGGTGGCAGCATTCATGCGGGCATGCTCCGACATGCCGCTCCCCCTCCAACCACAACCCAACCCGGAAGCTCAACATGCCCGAGTCGATAGCTGGGGAGCAGACAGTCAGTAGCCGTGTCTCAGTGCAATGCGTTTAAGTCTGGTTGGTTGCCCGAATGCCGGAGACATGGCGGTGATCGCACTCTTGTTCATGGAGGGAATGGCGTCGGGTTGACAGCGAAGCGTGCAGATGGAGCACTTTTTGCTGGCTGGAACCGTCCTATGGCCGGGCACCGAGAGACCAGCGCTGCCAACACAGATGCAGATGGGGAGCTTCCAGCTTGTTTCTCGGCCAAGGTTAGCTCATCGTCAGCCAATGAAGCTGATGTGTGTTGTCACTCCCCGGATCGTGCGGAGGAGCAGTATCATGAGTCCATGACGAGCGGTTGGACAGAGAGGGCAGCCCCACCCCCAACGCTTTCCAGTGATATTCCGCATCGGCCAGAGGATGGAGTACAGACAACGGCGAACATCTCCCCGGTGGAGGTGGAGGTTTTCTGGTAAGGTAGTCTGGGGTGCTGCAGGTCGGTGTAAGTGAGCCGAGCAGTGGATGTCTTGTACCTACATCAAGTGCCGAGCGAGCCATGTTCATCTCAAGGGTACCACAGAGGGGTCGCGGCCAGCGGATGTGGTCGAGGAGGCGTGTGTGTGAGTGTGTGTATGTATTGGAATATTTGACATTTTGGGAGTAGTTCTCTGGCGACTTATGAACTCCCACGTGTGCGGGATTCGGGATATTCTTATTCAAGAATAAAAAAAATGCTGGAGACAAAAAGATGTCCAGTCAAGAGTCAGGATGGCCAGTCTCGAATTTCAGCGGAGCCAGGATGAAACAAGGGAATGAGATCACGGAGGCACAACAACAGGCAGGTACCCTGTGAGCAACCCCCACTTGTCACGAACGTCGCCGCGTCGGGCACAACTCCAGGAGGGAGCGACTCAGCCTGGCACCCAATCTTCAAGGCTAGAGATCCATGAGGACACCCCAGCCTCAAACCGTAAAAACAGCCCGTCTCTCTCCCTGAAGGAAAAACCAGTTGGCTCATTCATCATCTGTGCCTGGAGGTACTACACAGTAGATGAGAAAAAGAGGGAGCGCCGCGGCTCATTTAAAAGAATCAAGCGCCCGGGGCCCGGAACACAGCTTCACTTTCACACCTGAGAAATATAATATTCGGTCCTGGTCTGTTCCTGAACGGGCTTGCAGCAAATCGTTAGCAATTGCAGCTCGACACAGCAACTAAACCTAATTCAGCCTGTCACCCAAGACACAAGGTCACTTTTGGCCCACGTCCCCGCGAAACGCTACTTTGATCAAGAACCCACGCGCCCTCCCGACCCAGTGAAGCAATTTCCTGGGGGCCTGCTCGACCCGGCCGCCATCACAGTTCCAGCGCCCCTGAAGAACAGCTCGCCGCCCGCCTGAAGACAGAGAGTGGGAGACAATCGTCTCTTTTCCATTCTCACCATTTTCAACATTCTCAGTCAAATTCTCCTTCTCCGAGCACTCATTTTGCCTCTCTCTTTTGATACCTGATACCTTAGATACCCTGGCCACCTCAGCCTTGCTGTTTAGCGGGACGTACTGCCCAATCGAGACACCACCACCACCACACCCCCCCCCCAGACCGCCGCCAATTGCTCTCTCGCTCACCCACTCAGCTGTGAGCTCGCCGACCAAAATAAATATTTCTTTTTTTTTTCTCTTCTTCCAAAAGATAGCATATTTTACGCCAGCTCCCGCCGCCCACCCACCGTCTTTTCTCCCCCGCTCAACCCAGTTTTCGACCATTGAATGTTTCGGTCTTCCACTCCTGACCCTCCAAAATCCAAGACACGCTTCTGGAACAAGATGCCGAGTCTTTTCTCCCGCCTCAAGGGCAAGGACGGGAAGAAATCCAAAAAGGGCCAGCTCGATCTCGACGACCAATTAGCAAAGAAACCACGATGGGAGGGCGACGCCTGGGCTCGCAAGACGGTCGACCCTGAGGAGGTGGAGGAATTGCTTCGATTTTCTACAGAAGAGCTCAAGGCGCGAGGTACGATGACATCAATTTCGGCACTGCTGCTGCTGCGCCCGCCCTCCACTCCCCCATCAATTCGCTAACGGCTAGCTTGCAGCTCTCGATCTTCCCTTTTTACTACTTCCCTTCCGACCAACGTCGGACCCGAGTGCTGTTCGCACCTTTGTGCGACACTTTTTCGGCAACAGAGATGGCGCCCAAACACTGTATGGAGAGGCATTGGCGCAGGAGCTGCGCATGACGGAGCCCATGGTACGACTAAAACATAGTTGAGGGTGGTGCTGGTTTGAGACTCGATACTGATTTTGTGGCACAGGTTATCTCGGGCGTTGTGAAATGGTGCTGGAGCAGACTTCCGGGCGGTGTGGTAGGATGGGATTCTTATGAGTTGTTCAGCCTTGGAGAGCAAGACTCGAACCTGGCCAGAGACTCTTTCAAGACCTTTATTCCGCTCAGCTTTGAGAACAGAAAGGCGCAGGCACAAATCGTCTTTCACTTTTTCGACCTGCTGTCGGCAGTTGCCGCCCACGGGAAGACGAACGGGTTCGGCGGGCGCAAGCTCTCACGGATGGCTGCATGGTGGGCTTTCGAGCAGACCGAAGCCGACAGGGCCAATGGGTTCGAGGGCGCGTACAAGGCGTGGCTCAAGGCTGCCGATGCTACAAGCCATCTTTTCTTTGCATACCTCAGATCCCTCGCGCCAGAACCAGTGGTTGGCGGCATTTCGCTTCTACCCATGTCGTTGCAGAAGCTTCTCCAGGAGACCGAATACCCGCCGCAGAGGCCCCATCTCTTGCAAACATCTACTTACAGGGTTGCCATGATAGTCGATACTGTTTCACCAACACCGTTTGCCCTCTTGAGACGAGCCAACCACTTCCAATACCGCGACGACGACCGAGCTTTGAAGCAGTGGTCTGAATACGAGGATCCCATCAAGGCCCTGACCGAGGAGTGCGTCAGAGTTCTTCGGGCCATCTCGGCCGCGAACCAGTCACACGCCGTTTCGAGTTCGAAACACTCCACCAGTCTTCGTGACGCTTCGTGGTCTCGATTTGAGGACATTGGGTTTGCGAGTGCTCTGGAGGAGGAAGACGAATTGGACGACTCGCTGGCAGTTCAACGACGACAGCAGGGAATGCGGAACACGCCCGCCTCTGGCAACGACTTAGGACGGCCAACAACACCATCCTGGGCCGACTTTTTGTCTTCGGGTTTCGTTGACGAGAAGAACAACACGAGCCACTTGCTGCCGCCTGACAAGGTCCTTCCCCCCATCGAGACGAACCTCCGCCAACGCAGCTCGCAGTCCCACAGACCGAGACTCGAGAACGAAAACCATCTTGAACCTGGCGAGCTCGCTAGCATCACCCGCTTCGATCTTGATGATGCTTTCTGGTGGGTTTGGCTGACCAGTTTGGCTCCTGAGGAGACTTCGGAAAGGAAGTCTACTTTTGGGCGCTGTGCCGTGATTGAGACTATTATTCGAGATGGTCGCTGGTTGGTCATGGAGGAAATCGTCAAGGGCGCTGCCCCTGATCCGGCCGAGGGAGCCTACATTGCGGAGAAGAAGGGCTTCTTCAGTTGGACCCGCCGTTCCAAGACTTCTGGCCTGAACAGGAGAAAGTCGACCGCAGGAAAGCATGCTTTGGAAAAGAGCGATAATTACCTGAACACGAGCTCCACCATGGGCTTCAGCAAGACCAGCATTGGCCCTGACCAGCAAGCCAAGATTCAGGCAGCTGCGCAACAGCTCCAGGCCCAGGAGAGGCAAAAGGCCCAACCCCAGGCCGTGGAGCGGAGGGGGAGGAGCGATGCCGACTACATGCACGAGAAGACCAACAGCGTCTTCACACTGCAGGCGAGCATCCTTAATGAGGCGTCTCCGGCTGTCAAGTGGGCGAACAAGTATGACAAGGACGCGATTAGAGAGGCCTATTTGGCAGATAACAGCGCCGGCCGTGGCGGTAGCACAGCTTCTAGCGTCAACGGAATCACTCCTCCTGCTGCAAATGGCAATGAGCGTCCTCCTCAGCCGCCTCCCAAGTCAACACCGCAACCTCAACCTGCCCCGATCACTATCCCCGCACCCGCTACTGTTACTCCTCGGACAGAAACGCCGACCCCAGAGACGCCCAGGGCCACAGAGAAGGAGCTGGAAGCACCCAAAGATGTCCACCCTGTCGAACGGGTATCTGACGGTGGAGGTCGTAGCACGCCTGCGCCTCCACCCAAGCCCAAGGATCAGGTCGCCAACGTCACTAGCATGGAGTTGACTCGTGAGCAAATGGTTTCGCCCGAGCCAGATAGCCCGGAAAGGAAGCAGAATAAGCTGCAGAAGGAATTATCCAAGAGTCCCACTGCTACCGGCGGCTTCAGGAAACTGTTTGGTCGTGCTAGGAGGTCATCCAAGGTGCCTGATAGCGCTCCTGAGCAGCTCAACACCATGCTTGCTTCCCCAACAGCTGCCGCTGCCGCTGCCCCCGTCAAGGCCGTCGCCCCTGAGCAACCTCCGAAGCAGGAAACTCCTCAGCCATTGCCCCCCAAGGTTGAGCCGGCTACGGCCCTTCCTGCTCGCAAGGCGGTTCCTCCCGCGGCGGCTCCTGCTGCCGCCCCAGCTCCCACCCCAGTGGCTGCTGCTCCTGAGCCTCAGACCGAACCCACCTATGAGCCGTCTGTTCATGAGGATGTGTCCCGCGTCAACACTCGGGATGCTGCCGCTGCCAGCGAGGAGTTCTCCCGCTTTGATCAGGGACCTCTCCTTGACCAGCCCGCGTTTGTTCCGGATGAAGAGGACACCGACACTGATGATGCCGTGCCCCCTCCTATTGCCCGGCACTCGTCCCGCTCCCCTCTGCCATCGCCTGCGTTGCCACAAGCTCCCAAGCAACAGGCACCCGCACCTGCACCTGCGCCAGCTAAGCGTCAGCTTCCAGCGCCGGCGCCCGCCGTACCCGAGGCGATGGATCGCTGGGCTCAGATTCGTAAGAACGCTGCTGAGCGCGCGGCCCAGCGTGGCCCGGCTTCTCCTGCCTCTCCACCGCCGCCAGTATCGCCAGAGATGCGGAGACCTGCTCCCAGGTTTGCCAGAAAGGACGAGACCGATGGGGACACCAGCGGTGAAGAGAGTAAGTTCTTTTTGTGCCCACCAACCATGATTGAATCCAACTAACGGTCTGTTCCAGCTATCGAGTCCCGGGTAGCCCGCATCAAGGCCAGAGTGGCCGAGTTGACCAGTAATCAGGAAGGCATGGGCGGACCAGGTGCTCGCTCACCACCGCCTCCGATTCGTCGTTAGGAGCGATACAGTTGCGGTTTTCCAATCAGATCTCGGCGAAAAGATACAGAGGCTGCTTCTGGAGAGCGGAGGGCCTCGTTAATGAATCGCCAGTATCTTTATTACTTGACATGATTTTCACTGTCAACGCCAACACGAAACCCTATAGAGAACGGACAGAGGGGTGGGGTGATAACAAAAGCAAAAAAGCGAAATTTTCTTCTCGAGATTTTGAGGTGGCATTTTTTGGTGTACACACACACACACACACACACACACACACACACACGGACACACACAGCCACACACATTATTACACAGTCATGTTTATTGTTTTTTTTCTTTTTTTTTTCTGCAGACTATTACCCCCAGGCCTTGTTGTTTTTTCTGCTTTTGCAAAGTCTTTTGCTGTTGTTGCTGCTGCTGTTGTTGTTGTTATTTACTTTGTTGTTTTTTCTGATGGTGTGTTGTTGTGTGTGGGATACCCGTTTGTCTTTAATGTTTGAGAGGGACAGAATTTCAAAAGGGGGGGAGGGGAGCGAGGGGCAGAAGAGGGAGAGGAAATTTGCAAGGTTTAGTTGTATGAAAGTAATATACCACTTTTTAATGTTTTGTTCTTTTGTGTGTTTAAAGCTGCTTGTTCTTTTGGCTTTTTTTTTGGGCGATTTTAGTGGGGGGGTTCATTGCTATACTATTACCGTTCTGCGGCGTATGATACCACCGTATATGATACTTTTTGTTCAATCTGGAAGAGTCAAAGATGGGTAGTTTTTGGGGGTTGGGATAAATGGTAATGTTCTTCTCTTCACACGGGATGCTATGTTGGGAGGTGAGACATTTTAGCTGGAGGGGTTGAATATATCTTGGTAACGATCTCAAGCCACGATTTGGCATGCCAGAGAGAGAGAGAGAGAGAGAGAGAGAGTGGGTGATTGATCGCCACGCGGGGAGGTAAGTGGTTGAGTCTGTTGTTGCAAGGAAGTTGTGAGTGCAGGTCCATTTCTACATGTGGCAGGGTTCGCAGTGGTGTGGGTGGGCGGGTGGTGCTTTCTTGAGAGGTTGGGCAGTGCCAGACGTTTGCTCCTTATCTCGAGTAAGTACAGAATCACCACTGCACCTACCGAAGAGTATGTATGTACCGGAAGATTTTGGCTTGATATACTATGTATACCCGACTTTGGCGGCATAAACGTTTTTGCACATCTCCCGAAGATATGGGGGAGGGAGTAGGTGGTCGGTAGATCGGAGGTAGTTACAAGCTTTTTGGTGATCTTCAGGGCAGGATGTGATCGTCGATGGACCGGATTGACATCAACAAACACCAATCGCAGAAGAAGAGGTTATCGCCGGACGGTTTAAAGGATGGGGAGATCATTTGTCTGCTGGGTTTTGGATATTGCGACTCTGCCGGAGCTTCTCCCGCGGGGTTATAGTAGGGGTCTGAGGTATAGTGCTCATACCACCTTGCTCGGTGCTGGGAGCCGTGAGGATTTCGGCTTTGTCTAACGATTCTCCTAGGTTCCGTTGTACAGTATCCAACCTCACTTCGATCAGGTACCCAGTTCATGTTTCGACGGCCCGGTCATCCCGATCAGAAACTGGGAAGGAAAAGAGTTCCAATCTCAGTCAGCTCAGGCTAAAGATAGGTTTTTGTGTCTGGATCAATGACACGGTCGGATGTCGACGAAGAATGTGGGACAGGATCGGTCTGGAGCAGGTTTCTCTCGCGCGCTTTCATATTTCAACGAGGCGAAAGTTCCCATCCCTTCCTTGGTGTGCCCAGAAGATCTAGAATGTGGCCGTCGACATTCCTTACCGGTTCTACGCTGAACCTACATTCCTTTGCCCTCAAACACTTTACGCGTGGGTTGCTTTAAAACCACCTACCTTCACATCACCTCCAGTCCTTTCTGTGTCAGCAGATTTTGAGAGGGTAGGTTGAAAATGTTAACCACAGCTACGATCCTCGTCCCCTTTTTGCTTGGTGGATTCCAAGTCGTGAAGGCGGCACCGAAGCAGGTTATTCAGTTAAGTCCGCAGGAGGGGCTGGAGATTGTGTGCAATGCGGGGAGGTCTACGACGGTGACGGTTACGAGGACGGTGGAGGTTGCGAGGACGGTTTCGGTGATGGTTACCACGGGTGCACCGCAGGCTTCGGTTGGGGTGGTACGGAGTAGCTCCGGCTTGAGGGTGGTGTCGAGTAGTTCGAGGACTGGGACGGTGCCGTCGAGTACTGCTGGGTCTGTTGTTGGGGGTGGGGGTGGGAATGGGACGGCCCTTAGGAATGCGGTTTATTTTACGAATTGGTGAGTTCTTATCAACAATGAGTGGAGAGGCAAGGGGGCTAATGGTGAATAGGGGCATCTACGGCAACAACTTCCAGCCTCAGGACTTGCCGGCCGACAGGATCACGCATGTGCTGTATTCGTTTGCGGATATTGCTTCTAATGGGGAGGTGTAGGTTTCTTATCTTTTCACATGCACAAGAAAACCGAGAACGCGGGCTAAGTGATCAACACACAGATTCTCCTCAGACACCTACTCCGACCTCGAAAAGCGCTACCCGACCGACTCCTGGAACGACCAAGGCAACAACGCCTACGGCTGCGTCAAGCAGATGTACCTCCTCAAGAAGAAGCACCGCCAGCTCAAGGTGCTGCTTTCCATCGGCGGGTGGACGTACTCGCCCAAATTCGCCCCCGTGGCTGCCACCGCCGCTGGCCGCAAAAGGTTTTGCTCTTCGGCGGTGAAGCTGGTCCAAGACTGGGGGTTTGACGGGTTGGATATCGACTGGGAGTATCCCGCCTCTGCGACCGAAGCCGCTGATTTTGTTTCGCTGCTGAAAGAGTGCAGAGAGGCCTTGGATGAGTACTCTGCCAAGCACGCAAAGGGGTATCACATGCCTATTACTATTGCTTGTCCGGCGGGTCCGACGCATTATGGCCAGATGGATATCCCACGGATGGATAAGTATATTGACGCGTGGCATCTTATGGCGTATGACTATGCCGGGTCGTGGGATAGTGTCTCGGGGCATCAGAGCAATGTTTTCCTTAGCACGACTAACCCGAACTCTACAAAATTCTCGACGGAGAAGGCGGTGAATGATTATGTGGCCAAGGGGGTCGCGCCAGGGAAGATTGTGCTGGGACTGCCGCTTTATGGGAGGGGGTTTGAGGCTACGAGTGGGCCGGGGAGGCCGTATAATGGAATTGGCGAGGGGTCGGCGCAGGCGGGGATTTGGAATTATAAGGATTTGCCTAGGCCGGGGGCGAAAGAGTTTTGGGATGAGCAGGCGGTTGCGGCGTGGAGTTTTGATGAGAGGAAGCAGGAGTTTATTAGTTATGATACGGTTAGGAGTGCGGTGGAGAAGGTGAAGTATTTGAAGGGGAAGGGGTTGGGGGGGACGGTGTTTTGGGAGGCGGCGGGGGATAAGGTGAGGGAGGAGGAGAGTTTGGTGAGGACGGTGGTGAGGGAGTTTGGGGGGACGAATAAGTTGGCGGGGGCTTTGAACCTGTTGAGTTATCCAGTTAGTGAGTACGATAATATTAGGGCGGGAATGCCTTGATAGGGGGTTGTGATGGGAGGGTTGGGTGGTGTTTTGTTTTGCAATTTTGTACATATTGGTTTGTTTTTTTGGTTCGGGACGTTTACCACTTCTTGTCTCTCGTTTTAGGACACCTTGTCTGGCTTCGGTTTCATGTTGGAGTTTGTATTGCTCTTCTTCTTTTGCAATTTTTTGGCCTGATACTATAGCAATACGGCCATCTTTGATGATGAATAATTTCCAGGTTTCCTTGACTTCATCACCGCCTGTCTGCTATCCAGCGTCCACATTCCTTCTTCCACTACATATCAGCGACGCATTTACACCAGTCAAAGCACGGCGACTCCTCATGGCCCGATTTTTTCGTCTTGACCTCGTTGTTATCGTCACAATAGAACCCGAGGTCTTTGCAGTCCTGGCTCACGTCCAAGTCGGCGATAGGACATTGGAGTACAAGGAGTGCTGACTCGGCTTTGGGGATCTTTGGTGAACTGATCAGGGCAAAAGTTTGACCGGTGCCCGTCACCAACAGAGCGAGTGCCGCAATCAACTACCAGGTAAGATGAAAAGTGTGTGAGATATTTCTGGCTAAACAAGTGTGCTAAGTCAACTGGAGGCATACCTTCATGTTTTTGATGGAGTTTTGCCTCAGTCTTCGTCAGATTTAGTGGCAAGGCTGTTGATTGACCGACTTGGACTGGATGAATTCACGTAGTGGAAAGGAACAAAGCTGCTGTTATACCTCCAGGCCGCAGTATCACACCAACTCGGTCCCGGCAACCTTTTTTCGGAGCACAGTAACCTCAAGTAATGTTGCATACATCGTCGTCCAAGTGGTTACAATGTTTCATGATATTTCCCCAGAGTCAGGTTACTCCTGAATGATATTTTCCCATGCTCAAGTTACAGGATGTACAACGCTAGGCCCCTTTCTTCACAAACGAACACACTTGCACCATTCAAAGCAAGGTGACTCTTCAAACCCAGCTTCGACGGCTTGAACCGACCCATCGTCTTCGCAGTAGAAGCCGTAGTCTTCACATTCTTTGGCCACGTTCAAGTCTGCAATGGGGCAGTCAAGATGGCCTAGCTGCTCGTCGGGTGTTGTTGTAGCATCGGGGGTGGCTGGGAGGGCAAGGCCTACTGCTGCGAGGGCAAGTATAGCGAGGGTGGTGAGCTGAGAGGTGTTAGTATTCATCTAGATATCTGAAACTAGGTAGAATCATGCCTTCATGGTTGGTGACTGTTGGGGGTGCTCGATGACGGTTGATGGTAGGTTTTGAATTGTTCCGCACGGCCGTTCGGAAGATCTGAGACAAAAGGAATGCGCCTGTACCAATCACTAACTATTTGACACATTCGCTATATATTGCTAAACACTCGAACGTATGATAAATTTATGTACCAGAAAAATTACTTATTACATTAATTTTATAACACACAATAAGCTCATATTCAGACCAATTCCTTCTCTCTTTCGTAAATTAAACCAAAACTACAAAAACTTATTCTA